TTTAACTTGCATCAAAATACCATGTAAGTGTGCTCCTTCCCATATATCCCTACAACCATCACCATCCCACTGTCCGGTGTCTCTTGAGAGAGCCTCTTTGCATGTTTTCCAGAATCTGTGTTTGTTTTTCCTTTCTTTTCCTTTGTTCTTTTTGCTCAACGGTGTGGCCATTCACTGCCCCTCTGGGGCTTTCATTCGCCAGGAGAAACATCCCAAAACCAGCACTGTTTAGCTTGATACCTTTCTAATGTCCATGTCAATTTTCAATAAAATTCAAAGAAATGCTCAATGGCTGTGTGATCTGATATTTAACCATTAGATGATTCGACCCATCATGGTTTGCCTTAGGAGTGGGTGGCTGCCTTCCAAGTGGATGATTTGAAGGGCTCAGGGAGGCACCATAAGCCCATATGCAACCTTCCTAGGTGGGCTGCTGTGCCCCCTCCTTCCTCTATTTGAGCTTGAAATTCCCACAGTGGGGTGGGATGGGGTAGACAGGAAGTCCTCTACTTGTTCTTTATTAGCATATATTTATCTGACCCGTTGAGCTCCTTATCATCTATGATAACAGAGGAAGTGGAGTGCCAGATCCTACAGAACAAGATTCTCTTATTTAATCCTGTGATGGGAGCATCCCAAAAATTCATGCATATGGCTGTTCTTTATGACTCAAAAGATAGCAAGCAGTATTTTGTGTCTTGGATCCACCAGGGAGGGAAAGCTCCTGTCCTCAGTCCCCACTCCTAGCATTAAAGTGGGCAAGAGGGAGCATGGTCAGTTTTCATAAATGCTTGCAAGTGTGGGGTTTCCTTTCCCTGGCTCCGTATCCTGGATGGCCAGATACTGGGGTCAGGAGAGTGGTCCATATCCTCTTGGTGCCCAGGCCTGAAGGAAGCGACACTGGCCTGCGTATGCATAGTTTGCACACTAGAGGGCAGCCGAGTGAGACAACATTAGCCTCTGACGTCACTGAGTAGCTGCAGGCATTGAGGTGTGGAAAAATACAGGCTCTGCAGCCAGACAGCCTTGCTAGCCTGTGCGCTATGGGAAAATTGTGTTAAAAACTTCCCTGCAAAAGGAGACTATCAGCAACTCCATTGCAGGATGATCATGAAGGCTACATGAACTCATGTAAATTAAAGACCCAGGTGTTCCATAAACGGTACCCTTTATTAAAGGATGGAGTTTCCCCTTTGCTAGAAGTATCTTGGGTCCCTCTAATGCACCCTTTCTAAACCTCAGCACTACTGACATTTGAGGACAGATGATTCTTTGCTGTAGGGACCTGTTCATTGTAGCATGTTTAAAAGCATCCCTACCCACTAGATGTCAGTAGCACCCTACCCCACTCCCAATTGTGACAACCAAAAATGTCTCCTATCAATGCCAAGTGTCTCCTGGAGGACAAAATAGCCCCATGTTGAGAATCATTACTCTAGGCCACGGGTCAGCAAACTTTTTCTGTAAAAGGCCAGCTGATAAATGTTTTAGGCTTTGCAGGCCAGATGGTCTCTGCAACTATTTAACTGTTACTATGGCACAAAAGCAGTCATAGATAATATGTATGTAAAAGGATGAGTGTGGCTGTGTGCCAATAAAACTTCATTTACAGACACTGAAATTTGACATTCACATCTGAATTTCATTTTCACATGTCATAAATTTTTATTCTTTTCAACCATTAAAAAATGTAAAAAGCATTCTTAGCATGCTGGTCATACAAATACAGGCGGTGGGACCAGATTTGGTCTGCAGGCCATAGTATGCTTACCCAACCTGTAACGCATTTTAATGCTTGTTGATGCATCATCAGACTAAAGGTGTTAGAAGCGACTGGCTGGTCAAAATAAATCAGAAATGAAGACAAATGGCTGAAGTTTTAATGCAAGTTGAGTGGGGAGTAATTAAAATTTGCACACAGTTTTGCTAGAGCATAGGTGGGAGGCAGGGGCTTGCTGTGTCGAGCTCCTGCTCCTGGGGTACTGAGCAGGTGAGAACCCCAACTACTTCTAGATAGAGGACTGTGCCTCTAATACCCTCAAAAACACAAAGCAACCAGGGCTCCTGTTTAAGCACTGAGGTTAAGCAGTGTTCTCTCCTGTCTGAAATGCCCCCACTTCAAGAGATTCATCTCTTACTGAAAGGACAGCTTTCTTGCAAGGGCATTCTTTTAAAATGTGGGTACCCCTTCAAAGAGTTGTGCATTTGAACAATAATAGTACGTCACAGAAGTTTTGCCACCTAGACCTACCTTCCATCAGTATCCCTCCAAGTCCTCCACTACCTCTTAGCTTATTTGGCTTGAGCTTTAGAAAGTCCATACTCAGGGCTCAACAACTATAAAAATTTATGATATTCTATTGTAAGCAAGGCCCCTCCCTTTCCCTTTGTTATTTGTCAACTTAGTGTCATTGTTGACTTATAGTTTCCTATTGTTTCAATGGTTCCTTACTGTCCTTAATAATTTTTGTACTCAAATTACCAAGATGTGACCAGTGGGAGCTCCTAGCTATTGCTTTTAATCTGTTAGTAAACATACCTCAAAGAGAATATTGCAGTGCAGACTACTATTCTGGTCAAGAACTTTTGGTGGTCTGATTTCTGGGATAGTTTATGGGGGGTGCTTAACCAGTCTCCAAGTTTTCCTCCTGTGATCACTCACTGAATCCCCCATAGGAAAGGGCATCAAGAGAAGCTCAGAGCTGTCAGTGTGGGGTGTGTGTGTGTGTGTGTGTGTGTGTGTGTGTGTGTGTGTGTCTAGGATGGATGACTACCAATTTCTGGATTGTTTTAGGATTGCAATGGATACGTTTATCATCATTCCTTGCTATACCTATCTTCAACAATGTTTTAGATAATCTACTTCAGCTTAGGGTTTCAATTCCTGGTAACAGAGAAATATGTGGCTTGTGAAAAGGGAATTGGATGATATAGGTTGGCTGGAGGATTTTGATCAGAAGGATTACTAGCGAAATAAGGTCATGGATAATCATGCAAATTTTTGTTTCGCTTTCTAGAGATGAACCTGTATTCCACAGTGGGAATTTCAAATGGAGTCCAGTTATGGCTGTTGTAAAGTAAATGGCCTGCCTCTAACATCAGTTTCATTGCCTTTCATTTTGTAATCCAAGTTCAAAAGTCAGATTGCAATTATATGTTCCTATCTGATGAACATGTTTTCATCAAAGCTAAGAGGATGTAGCTTTTATTTTCTCAAATCTTTTTCTAGGAACAATATGTATTGATGACAATGCTTTTGCTGATGAAGGTTGGCAACTTAGGCTGAAATTAATCCAACTGTAAAATAACAAATCAGCTTAAAATATAGACTCCAAGAAAATGAATTTCACAAGATTGGGACAATGGAAAGAGCCTTTACTCATTCATTCATTCAACTCAAGAAATATCTATGGAGTGCCCACAGTAGCCAGGCATAGGTGCAAAAAGCAAGGCAGGTGAGTTCCTTGTTCTCATGGAGCTGACACTGGGCAGGGGGAAGTCAAACTTTCTTAAAGAGTTCAAAAGATGATACATGTGAAGAAAAACATTTTTTTAAAAACAGGGCAATTCAATGACAAATGGCTGGAAAAGCACTGGATGAGGAGTCAAGTGACCCAGATTATGATCTCAGCTTTGCTACAGTCTCTACAGTCTTCAACTAGTCACTCACCTCTCCAGCCTTAATTTTTTCACTCATACTGCAATGACTTTAATTTATGATCTCTAAGCTTCCTATTTCATATCGTGTTTTGATCTTGTGGTTCAAAGAATGCCTTTACTTCAATCAACATGAATGCCTGCTATAGAGTCAAAGACAAAACACTCACTAGGTAGGAAATAGGCAAGACAGACATGGAAATAAATAATTATGAAACGGTGTGAAAAGTGATGTTATCTTCTCTTCTCAATCCAATACACCCTACACATAAGATGTGCCATATAATGAAAAATGTGTCGTTAAAATGTGAAACAGGGCAATGGGTCAAAGCCACCTCATCCAATGGACCTGCTGCCAGTGGGACATTGAGTTTCATAGAGGACTATTTCTCCCCACCAAGACTGTAATCAGTTCTAGGATGACAGAGAAAACCCAGTTTCTTTTTCCTTTTATTACTGCCGGTGTGGGGCAAAAGTAGGCTTGCTGTACTGGAAACACAGTTTATTATTTCTTATTATTAATTGTATTATTTTCCATACAAACAACTGTAAGCCTACTTTGCCCCACCCTGTATTGGGCACACAAGTGCTGTGTAAATTCCTGTTGACAGATACTCATTGATGAACTACTTAAATAACACAGGTTGGCAGACAGGGACTGAGGGAACTGACCGGAGCACTGCTAGAGCGAAGTGTTCAGCTATACAGTGGTTTTGCCATTTGTTGCTGTGCAGCTTTTAAGGCTCTTTGGGGGCCCTTTTGTATTTTGTAATATTTTTCACATTTTAAATTGCTACAGAAAATGCAAAATTACTTGCAATCATGATAAGAACTGTGTAAGCACGGTGTCTCTATTTGTCAGCAATTGGAATGGAATATGTACGAGAAGTGGCATTGTGGATTATTTTCTTTGCAAGTATTTAATCTCGCCTATGTTCTCACAATAAAATGCAAAGCTAACGACACATAACGCACATAGCTTTTCAAGCTATCCTCTAAAGAAAAGGAACCTCGGAGAGCTGACATTAAAAGAAAAGTGTAAAATCCATTACAAACCTAAGTCCCTCCCAAAGAACACCGCATTGTCGTGCTGCTCAGAAACTCAGGGGAAAGCGTCAGAGGAGTCATTGCAGCCAACAATCACCTGAGGTCGTCTTCCCGAGATTCAATGGAAACATGTTCCAGAACCTCTGAGAATCTTCCAAAATTTACTTCCCGTAGTCCCCTCCCTCCGCTAGTGACCGTAGTGCGTCAAAGGCCCGTAGTCGTCATAGAAGGGGGAAATGTACATCGCGCGATATTTGGTCACGGGATTTGGAAGTTAGGGATCTCACGCAGCGCATGCGCACTGGCTCGCTACCGCTGGGCTGCACGCGGGTAGGTAGGCAGGAACTCAGAGGAGGGGGAGCAGAGCGTGCTGGTGGCTTTCCCCCTCCTCCCCGCGCTGAGCGTGGGTCTGCGGGTGGCTGGAAGTGCGGAGCGCGGGGCCTGGCTCGGCGTCCCCGACGCGCGTGGACTGCAGTGGGCGCCCTCCTGCTCCTCCACGAGTTGGAGTGCAGCAGGCGCGCGCCCTGGCATCGGGACCTGAGCTCCTTTTCCTCTTTAGCATTCGCCCTCCAAGCACACACCCTAGTCCCCAGAGAGTTGGTCTTCGCGCCACGGCGCGCCCCTCCTCACCCGGCCCCTCCCACCGGCCCCCGATCCAACTCGCTCCAGGTCCGTAGTTGGCTTCATCCCTGGTGGCCCTGCTTGGGGGCGGAGAAGATGGCTGGCGGACGTCTGCTGTTGGGGGGCGACTTCCTGTCGCCGCCGCCGCTGCTCCCCCTCCCGCCGCCGCCGCCCCCGCCTGATCCAGTGCTGGAGCAGTGGCGCTATAGCCACGAAAGTGACTGGCAGTGGGCTCTGCGACGCAGCTTCATCTGTCGGCACCTGCACAGCTATCCCGGGGCTGCCCTCGACCAGCTCCTAGCGCTCTCCGCCGCCTGGACCAACCACGTTTTCCTGGGTTGCAGGTGAGGAAGGTGCGCGGATCCGGTTAAGGAACAGGGATAGGAGAACGGTGATGGGGATTGGGACAGGGACTGGGGCAGGATACAGAGGGTTAGAGGCTGGAGATTTGGAAATGCTGGAGGACACTGTTGTCCTGGGGAGGGGGTTGGCCGAGTGAGGTGGCAGGGGTTGATGACATAACGGCTAGAAGGGTGCGGGGGGTCGCGGGAGAAACCCCTCCAAGACCAGGAATGGAGATAGAGGTGTGCTTGGAAGAGGAATCATCACCATTAGAGAGGTGAACATTGTGGTGATGGTTCTGGAGGGCGTGGGAAATGACAAATAGCAGAACCTGAGACCTGCGTAGGACCTTCCAAGGATGCGGTATCCGCAGAGAACATCCTACAGTCGCGGTTTCCAGGGTCCGCGGGGGTGGGGGCGCTGCGGTTCTAATCCTAGTCTCCTGACCACTGTCTTTCCATCCCCATTAAATAAAACATCCCCCCCGCTGGGTTTTACTGTCTCCTCCTGGAAAGGCGGTTTGTATGAGGTGTCTCAGCCGCAGGGTCCGCCTTGCTTGTAGATTTGCGCATATGTGTGGAAGCAAACAAAGAAATGGATATATCTACTATAAAAATGGATTGCCCTCCTTTCACCTTAATTATGATCAGAAGGATTAACATTTAGCATTGGGTGAGATTTTAGGTGTGCTTTTATGTGTGTGTGTTTGCCCCTCCCCCCTTTTCTAAAACCTAGTGCGCATTCTGAACAGGCCTCTTTGAAAGCTCTTTGCATTTGATGGAGACTGGAGACTGCAGTATGGTTCCAACGCATTTTTTTTAAAAAACAGGACTACTTGGACCTCTATATTTCAGAGCCCCCGACTCGGTCTTATATTAGACTAATCATTCCTTTGATCGATTGAGAGGCTTTTTTGACTCTTGCCTCACAGTGAATTTTTTATTAGGAAGGATGAGATATTCTGGAAAATTATCAGATAAAATTCAGTCAATTCGGGTCTAGAAATGACTAACAGATACAGAAAAATAGGATTGTCCCCCTTACCCTTAATTGTTGAACATGGTATTCAGTGTGGTACTTTGAACTCATCACAAAAATTAATGTGTGTGTGTGTGTGTTTTTTTTATCTTCTCTAGGTTAGTGTAATTTCTGCCTCCAGAGATAATGATTATTTCACTGGAGGAGCTGGTTACAACTGGGGAAGCCTCAGTTATTAATCAAGTCAGAAAAATCTAATTGACCTTCATTTAATAATGTTGTTTTTGCAGTTAAAAAGGTACCTTTATCATAGATCTTAATATTACAGAAGGCCATGGGGAATCTGAATCCTAAAAAATATCTTACATGGTAGGATAATATCTATCCTTTGTGTTAATAAATCTTACCTTCCCACTAGAATGTAAGCTCCTTTGGGGAAAGGGTTTATGGTTTCTTGTTCACACCTTTATTCTCAGTGCCTAGAAGAGTGCCTTCTGTGTAATGGATGCTCAATAAATGGATAAATATAGGTTTATAATGTACAAAATAGTTTAAAATTTATGTATCTCACTTAATACAACAGCTTTGGGAATTAGGTGGTGTCTCATTTTTTACAGCTGAATCAATGGAGGCCAAGAAGTTAAGTGACTTTTCCAAGGTCCCACAGTCTTCTGATACTCTTTCCACTGAAATACAGCTGCTGTATTTGGGAAGGATGGACCAGGAATGAAAGCAAGTAACTGACACACACAGACCACCGCATTATTATGCCTCAGGATTTCATTCCAAAAACAGCAGTCTTATATATAAGGAGGGCATTAAAAACACAAGCCAGGCCAATGGTAGTCAGTGTTAAAAGCTCAAGCTTTCAGAGCATTTTATATGTGTATGTGCACTTGCCAAAGCACATCACCTGTGGATAGTATATATACTATAGTCACCATGTGACATAAGTCAGTTCAGTCAACACAAGTTGCCATAACATTATCAAATAGCATAACAACCCTAGCTGGTTAGAACAACTGGTTAGAGCAGCCGTGGGCAAACTACGGCCTGCGGGCTGGATCCGGCCCGTTTGAAATGAATAAAACTAAAAAAAAAAAAAAAAAAAAAAAGACCGTACGCTTTTATGTAATGATGTTTACTTTGAATTTATATTAGTTCACACAAACACTCCATCCATGCTTTTGTTCTGGCCCTCCGGTCCAGTTTAAGAACCCATTGTGGCCCTCGAGTCAAAAAGTTTGCCCACCCCTGGGTTAGAGCATAGGCAGGCTGAAGAGTCCTGGGTTCAATTCTAGTCAAGGGCATGTACCTTGGTTGCAGGCTCCATCCATGGCCCCTCCGCATGCAGGAGGCAACCAATCGATAAAAAACATCGATGTGTCTCTCACGTCGATGTTTCTGTCTCCCTTCCTTCCATTCTTTTTAAAAATGGAAAAATATCCTCAGATGAGGATTAACAAAAAACAAAAGCAAAAAAAAACACACCAAAAAATATACCATAACAGAAAAGTAATGTTTGCATTATATCTAGTTTAGATATAGGAAAAAGAAGAGGCAATAAAGAATTTTGGGAGCTAGGAACCAAGTGCAGTCTTCCACTTTTATGTTAGCTGTCATCTTCAGGTGGAGAAAATCTATGTACTTGTTAATGTTGATGTTGGCAGAGCTCTTGTTTTATGGTCTTTTTTTGTGACAGAAGAGTCTTCTTTCTCTCAAGGGAACTGCAGAATACACGGCGAAAGTGCATATTCTAAACTTTACAGTCCACCCTTGACTTTTAGAACAGGTTGTTAACAGTAGCAAGAAGGGAACTTGTTGCATTTTTTCCCCCATCTAGCAGGACTTTTTGTATTGTTTCAGTTCTAGGTATCAACTGTATCAACTCCTTGGTCAAGGATATCTTTTTTTTTAAAATATATTTTATTGATTTTTCACAGAGAGGAAGGGAGAGGGACAGAGAGCCAGAAACATCGATGAGAGAGAAACATCGATCAGCTGCCTTCTGCACACTCCTCACTGGGGATGTGCCCGCAACCAAGGTACATGCCCTTGACCGGAATCGAACCTGGGACCCTTCAGTCCCCAGGCCGACACTCTATCCACTGAGCCAAACCGGTTAGGGCTCGAGGATATCTTGAAAATTTCTTAATTATAAGACCAAGCCAGGAGGGGCTCAAATGTGCAGGAAGGCAAAACATGTTTCATTTTTTTGGTGGTAATGATTTTCAAGGTACAAGTTTGAATACTGTATCTCTTTAACTCTAACAGTGGTTCTCAAATATAGGCAGGCATCAGAATCACCAGCCAGGCCTCTTAAAACACAGATTGCTGGGCCCCATCCCCAGGGTTTCTGATTCAGTAGGCCTGAGGTGAGGCCCCAGAATTTCAGAATTTGTATTTCTAACAAGTTGCAGGTAATGCTGATAATCGAGTGATGCCATCCAGAGATTACACTATGAGAGCCACTGCTTTATAATAAAGGATAAAATAAAACAATGTTTTCCAGTCTGCCTTTTCATCATTTTTCCATCGTAGTCTAGGCCAGTGGTTCTCAACCTTCCTGATGCCGCGACCCTTTAATACAGTTCCTCATGTTGTGGTGACCCCCAACCATAAAATTATTTTTGTTGCTACTTCATAACTGTAATTTTGCTACTGTTATGAATCGTAATGTAAATACCTGATATGCAGGATGTATTTTCATTGTTACAAATTGAACATAATTAAAGCATAGTGATTAATCACAAAAACAGTATGTAATTATATATGTGTTTTCCGATGGTCTTAGGCGACCCCTGTGAAAGGGCCGTTCGACCCCCAGAGGGGTCACGACCCACAGGTTGAGAACCGCTGGTCTAGGCAATTAGGAAGCTCAAAATAGCTGAAATTATTTCTCTGTTTTATAAAAGAAAACAATCTGTCAAGAACTTTCTTCTGCAAGCCATTTCTAAAATATATCTTGTGCCCTAGCCGGTTTGGCTCAGTGGATAGAGCATCAGCCTGGGGACCAAAGGATCCTGGGTTTGATTCCGGTCAAGGGCACGTACCGTACCTTGGTTGCAGGCTCTTCCCTGGCCTGGGTCCTGGTTGGGGCACATGCAGGAGGCAACCAAACACACTGATGTTTCTCTCTGTCTTTCCTTTCTTCCACTCCTCCTAAAAATCAATGGAAAAATATCCCCAGGTGAGGATTGACCCAAAAAAAAAAAATCTTGTGGCTAATGAAAAGTTATATCTGTAGCACTTAAATAATTATTCATATGAATGCCTAGGGATCTGCATGATATGTACTTAAATTGTGGATAAATGTATATGTATTTAATGAAGCAGAATGTTTGGTTAACTGGAGCATTGTTTTCCAATCATTCTTCATCGACAGGATTAGAATCAGAATTCTGGCCTATTGATCTTTGATGTGATATTAATTAATCAGGAAGATATATCTTAAAATGCAACCAGCTTTTCCACCTTGATTATTTGTCTCTTCTTTTCCTTGTTGATGTGAGGCTGTTGCAGATGCCAGTGGGCTCATGCTGTAAAACTAACTTTGCCCACAGTAGGTAGAGGGCATTAGTCACCACTAATGAAGTGGAAGTGTGAGTGTTCAAAAGATTTATCAATAATCTGGTTGTTTGTTATTCACATATGTTAAGAGTCTTATGAATGGTTTTGAATAAATCCTATATAATAAAAGGCTCATATGCAAATTGACTGAACGGTGGAAAGACTGGTCGCTATGATGTGCACTGACCACCAGGGGGCAGACGCTCAATGCAGGAGCTGCCCTCTGGTGGTCGGTGTGCTCCCACAGGGGGAGCACCACTCAGCCACAAGCCAGGGGGAGCAGGCCTAAGCCATCAATTGGACATCCCCTGAGGGCTCCCAGACTGTGAGGGCACAGGCAGGGTTGAGGAACCTCTCCCCTACCCCCTCCCTCCCCCATGCATGAATTTTGTGCACCGGGCCTTTAGTAATTTTATAATTGGCCATCTTTTTTTTTTTAAATATATTTTATTGATTTTTTACAGAGAGAAAGGGAGAGAGATAGAGAGTTAGAAACATCGATGAGAGACAAACATCGATCAGCTGCCTCCTGCACACCTCCTACTGGGGATGTGCCCGCAACCCAGGTACATGCCCTTGACCGGAATCGAACCCAGGACCTTTCAGTCCGCAGGCCAACGCTCTATCCACTGAGCCAAACCGGTTTCGGCTATAATTGGCCATCTTAATCTTTGCTGAGTTTTCAAACTTCAGCTTTCTTACTTGGATTTAGTAGACCCGGTTTAATATATTAAAAAAAATTTTAAAGCATCTATTACTGAATATTTATTAAATTTCAGGTGCCATTATATATCATAAATATGCACCTACATGTACCTGTTTTTGTTCAAGAATGTAAGTTCATGAACTCAGATGTTTTTTGTCTATTAGAAATCATCTTTTATGTGCTAGGCATGGTGGGACAGTTGAATAGCATCCTGATTTCCAAAATCTTGGTACATAATAAGCTACCTTTTAAAACCCTAAAGACCTGCTGGAGATTTTCCAGAGTGGCCAGACTGTTTTACATTCCCACCAGCGATGTGTAAGTGATCCAGGTTCTCTGCATCCTTGCCAGCATTGGGTGTTGCCGCTATTTTTTATTTTAGCCATTGTGATGTGTGTAGTCATATCTCGTTGTGGTTTTAAATTGCATTTCTCTGGTGGTTAATGATGTTTTCAATGTGCTTATATGCAATCTATATTTCCTGTTTGGTAAAATGTTCTGTTCATATCTTTTGTTTGTTTTTAAATATGATTTTTTTTACTGTTGTGTTTTGAGAGGCATTTCTATTAGATACTAGGTTTTTTTGTTTTGTTTTGAAATATATTTATTGATTTCAGAGAGGAAGGGAGGAGAGAGAGAAAGAAACATCCATGATGAGAGAGAATCATTGATCAGCTGCCTCCTGCACGCCCCCCACTGGGGATCAAGCCTGCAACCCAGGCATGGGCCCTTGGCCAGAATTGAACCCGGGACCTTTCAGTCCGAAAGCTGATGCTGTATCCACTGAGCCAAGCCGGCTAGGGCTAGATACTAGTTTTTTTGTCAAGTGTGTGGCTTGCAAATATTTCTCCCAGTTTGTAGCTTTTCATCCTCTTAACAAGATCTTTTGAGAGCAAAAGTTTTTAATTTTGATGAAGTGCATTTTATCAGCTAGCTATTCCTTTTATGGATCATGCTTTTGGTGTCAAGTATAAGAACTGTTTGCCTGGCCCAGATCCTGAAGATTTTCTCCTGTGTGTTTTTTTTTTTTTGTACAACTTTTATAGGTTTACATTTTACATTGAGGTCTGTGATGCACTTTGAATTAATCTTTGTATAAAGTTTGAAGTGTAGGTTGAGGTTTTGTTTGTTGCCTGTGAATGCCCACTTGCTCCAGTACCATATGTTGAAAAGGCTGTCCTTCCTCTGTTGAACTGCTTTTGCAGTGTTGTTAACAATCAGTTGAGCATGTTTGTGCGGGTCTATTTCTGGGTTTTTCCCCATCAACTTTTCACCTAATAGGCTTAGCAGCCATTGATGACCATTTATTATTGCATTATGGGTTGCAAAATGGTAGTGTTCTTTCATTCCTACACTTAATAGCTGGGCTGCTTCTGTAAAAGAGACTTTCTTCATCAACTCTTTAGTTCCTCTGAGGTATAATTTATATGGAAAATGCCAAATAAATACTTGGTTTCTTCCTTAATATTACCCATTTTTGGAATAATGACTTGATTTTCTACCATCCTCCAAAGATGACCAATAATGAGTTTGTAAGTACCTTTTTGAGATAATGGATTTTTAACATCTTTGATGTGTCTCAATCCACTGCTATTATTGTTCTTATTGATACTCAAGTTGACTTATTTTGCCAGTGGGAGGCTATTCAAGTTGGCTTCTGAGTCCACTTGATCTAATTCCTGAAGTCTTTGACAGCTTCCCTGTTTTCAGGCACAAGAATATCTGCCAGGTTCATCTTACACATTTCTTGCCCCAGACTTGGAATCAGCCATTTCTCTAAGGACTTTGATTCTTTTTCATGGAAATGATAGAGATCACAATCTGGATGTTAACCCAGCAGCTCTTAACACTCTTAGTACTTTGATAAATATATCAATGAATTATTTGCATATAATATACATATATGATAGAGGAAAAATAAATCATGAATTTATACGGATATTTTCAATTCAAACTTAAAGATAAGGTATTGGCTTACACTTTTTTTCTTTTATTGATTTCAGAGAGGGAGGGAGAGATAGAAACATCAATGATGAGAAAGAATTACTGATCAATTGCTTCCTGCATGTCCCACACCGGGGATTGAGCCCGCAACCCGGGCATGTGTCCTGACTGGGAATCGAACCATGACCTCCTGGTTCATAGGTCAGTGCTCAAGCACTGAGCCACACCAGCCGGGCTTACATTTCTTTTTTTAAAAGAACTTAAATTTTTATTTTTCAATTATAGTTTATATTCAGTATTTTTATTTTTATTTTTTTGATTTCAGAGAGGACAGTGGGGGAGAGATCAATGATGAGAGAGAATCATTGATTGGCTGCCTCCTGCATGCCCCACCCTGGGGGCAGAGCCTACAACCCAGTCATGTGCTGTGACTTGGAATTGAACCTTGACCTTCTGGGTCATAGGTTGACGCTCAAGCACTGAGTCATGCTGGCCGGGCACATTCAGTATTATTTTGTATTAGTTTTAGGTGTATATAGCATAGTGGTTAAACAGTCATGTACTTTATAAAGTGTTCCCCCAAATATTTCAAGTACTCACCTGGCACCATACATGGTTATTGCATTTTCTATGCTGTACTTTACATTCCCATGACTATTTTGTAACTACAATTTGTACTTCTCAGTCCCTTCATCCTCCTTCACCCAGTTCCCAATTGCCCTTCCCTTTTGGCAACCAACAGTCCACTCAGTGTATCTGTGAGTCTGTTTCAATTTTGTTTGTTCATTTATCTTGTTTTTTATACTCCACATATAAGTGAAATCTTACGGTATTTGTCTTTCTCTGTATGACTTACTTCACTTAGCATAATACCCTCTAGGTCCATCCATCCTATCACAAATGGTAAACTTTTAATTCTTTTTGTGGATGAGTGATATTCATTGTATATACAGGGTGTCCCAAAAAAGTATACATACTTTAACAGCTCATAGCTCAATTTTGAAAATGAAATGTATTTTTTTTAAATATATTTTATTGATTTTTTACAGAGAAGAAGGGAGAGGGATAGAGAGTTAGAAACATCGATGAGAGAGAAACATCGATCAGCTGCCTCCTGCACATCTACTGGGGATGTGCCCACAACCCAGGTACATGCCCCTGACCGGAATCGAACCTGGGACCCTTCAGTCTGCAGGCCGACACTCTATCCACTGAGCCAAACCGGTTTCGGCAAATGAAATGTATTTTAATAAACACTGCCTTAATAATTATTCAAAGTGTGCGTATACATTTTTGAGGACATCCTATATATATTTACCACCATTTTTTTTATCCATTCTTCTATTGATGTGCACTTAGGTTGTTTCCATATCTTGGCTATTGTAAATAACGCTACAATGAACATAAGGGTGCATATATTCTTTTGAATTAGTGTTTTAGATTTCTTTGGGTATATTCCCAGAAGTGGAATTGCTGGGTCATAAGGCAGTTACATATTTAGGTTTTTGTTTTTGTTTGTTTGTTTTTAATATATTTTTATTTATTTCAGAGAGGAAGGGAGAGGGAGAGAGAGATAGAAACATCAATGATGAGAGAGAATCATCTTTCGGATGCCTCCTGCATGCCCCCCACTGGGGATCAAGCCCACAAGTGCCCTGACGAGGAATTGAATCATGACCTCCAGGTTCATATGTCGATGCTCAACCACTAACCCACACTGGCCAGGCACATTTTTAGTTTTTTGAGGACCCTCCATACTGTTCCCCATAGTGGCTGCACCAATTTGCATCCCCACCAACAGTGCAAGAGGGTTCCCTTTTCTCCACATCCTTGCCAGCACTTGTTTGTGGGTTCATTGATGATATTGGCTTAAATTTCTTGATTATATGCTTATATGGCTTGAAATGACAGTACCATAATTACTCATTTGATAGGTAAGTATTTTAGGGCAGATTCTTCAGTTTTATAGCCAAGATACTCTGTTAAAAATGTCCCGTGGGAACAATTATAAAATTGGCTCATTTAGAAGCTTTTTAAAAAACTACATTCTTATCTGTTTTAATGGTAGATTATATTAATTTAAATAGGTATAGCCCACGCTTGATGGAAAAAATTCTCCAAATGGCTGAAGGTATTGATATTGGGGAGATGCCTTCATATGATCTGATGCTGTCCAAACCTTCTAAGGGTCATAAACGTCACCTCTCAACATATGATGGTGAGTATACTTGTTTCTGGAAAATGGGATTTGAAGAAACGGCATGGCCTTTTTTAAAAAACAAAAAAAACAATATGAGTGGTATAACATTCATGACATTGGATCTTCCACAAATGTAAAAAAAATTTAACTTCTGGTTATGCACAATTGGGTTGGTTTTTTTTTTGAGAATGCTAAATAGAACTGAAGACTAAGAATACTGAAGTCACACTATAATGCTATCCTTAAAGTCCATGCCATGAACCTCCCTCTAAATAGAAAAACCTTATACTCTGATCATTTGAGCATCTAAGTAACTAAATCCTCTTGGATGGGTCCAAGATGGACCAGCTTTCTACTGAATACTGTTGTAGGGAGGAAGCTCTAGTGTCTGGTATAGCTTCATCAGAGTTCTTCCATAGCTTTAAATTTGATATACCTCATAAAACATTAGTTTCCAGCTGTTGCTTGTTCTAGAAATAAAACGTAGCAAACACTCTTTGGTGCATAACAGGTCAGAACTAAGATTTTGAAGTTGAAAACCTTTTGGATCTTTTGAGAATTATTTTTATTTGAGTTTTAGTCACAACTACATGTAAAGCGCCATCACAGGGTCACTCACCTCTGACACAAAAGAGAGAAGCTTTGTTAATGCCTCTGGTCATCATCTGTGTTGCAGCAGAGCCATCTGTTCCATTTGCAGTCTTTATGAAGGGAGCTTTTCAGCACAGGTGGTATGAGATTAATACTGGAACAACTTCTTAGTCTGTACACATCTCCTGTGCTTTAACTTATTAGACGCAAAGGCAACTACCATCGTGCATGGCCGTGACCTGCATACTTGATTCAATGGCATATTTTCTATCAAGTTCCTTTCCTTACACACAAAAGGACAGGAATCATCCCCACTTATGCTGGAACCTTACATTGCTATTTGATTGCCGTCACCTCAATGATCTGAAGTTTTTGTGATAGAAAGTATCTTGTACCAACAATGCAGCTTGCAAATAATAGAGTTGGTACTGTTTTCCTGCTTGGTTCTTTTGAAATATTCCCTCTTTAATGAATTGTAAATTTCACTCATTCTATAGGTCAAAATCCTCCTAAAAAGCAAGCCGGTTCCAAATTCCATGTGAGACCTCGTTTTGAGCCTGTACATTTTGTAGCTAGTAGTTCAAAAGATTTTGAAAGACAGGAAGATCCTTATGGCTCTCAAACAAAGGAGGTAAATGAACAAACACATTTTGCCAGAATGCCAAGAAACATCTACCAAGATTATACTCAAGACTCTTTCAGTGCACAAGATGGGAATTCTCAGTATTGTGATTCAGCAGGATTTCTTTTCACAAAAGACCAGCCTGTAACATCCAACATGTATTTTGACCGTGGGAACCCTGCCCCAAGCAGCACAGCACAGCAGGCAAACTTGCAGTCAGCTCCTGAGCCTTCACTATCACAGACATTTCCTGAGTCAGTGGTAGCCGAGAAGCAGTATTTTATTGAAAAATTAACAGCGACCATCTGGAGCAACCTTTCTAATCCAGAGATGACTTCCGGATCTGATAAAATTAATTATACATACATGTTAACTCGTTGTATTCAGGCATGTAAGACAAATCCTGAGTATATATATGTTCCTTTAAAAGAAATCCCCCCTGCTGACATCCCTAAAAATAAAAAACTTCTGACAGATGGTTATGCTTGTGAAGTTAGATGCCAAAATATCTACTTAACTACAGGGTATGCTGGCAGCAAGAATGGGTCCAGGGATCGAGCTACTGAGCTAGCTGTAAAACTCTTGCAGAAGCGTATTGAAGTTAGGGTTATCCGGCGGAAATTCAAACACACATTTGGAGAGGACCTTGTAGTGTGTCAGATTGGCATGCCTTCGTATGACTTTCCTCCAGCTCTGAAGCCGCCAGAGGAGCTGGTGGTGTTGGCTAAGGATGCCTCTGGGCAGCCAATTTATAATGCTTCTGCCAAACACTGGACCAATTTTGTCCTTACAGAAAATGCAAACGATGCTATTGGTATCCTTAACAATTCCGCCTCATTCAACAAAATGTCAGTTGAATACAAATATGAGATGATGCCAAACCGCACATGGCGTTGTCGAGTGTTTTTGCAAGATCATTGCTTAGCTGAAGGTTATGGAACCAAAAAAACAAGTAAACATGCAGCTGCTGATGAGGCTTTGAAAATCCTTCAAAAAACACAACCCACTTACCCATCTGTCAAAAGTTCACAATGCCAAGCAGGCTCTTCACCCAAGGGATCTGGCAAGAAGAAAGATATAAAGGATCTTGTAGTTTATGAGAATTCTTCAAATCCTGTGTGCACGATGAACGACACAGCTCAGTTTAACCGAATGACAGTTGAATACGTCTATGAAAGAATGACAGGCCTCCGATGGAAATGCAAGGTGATTCTGGAGAGTGAAGTCATTGCAGAAGCAGTTGGGGTGAAGAAAACTGTCAAATACGAAGCTGCTGGGGAAGCTGTGAAAATCCTCAAGAAGACCCAGCCGACTGTCATTAACAACTTGAAGAAAGGAGCTATTGAAGATGTGATTTCAAGAAATGAAATTCAGGGCCGCTCAGCAGAGGAGGCTTACAAGCAACAAATCAAAGAAGATAACATAGGGAATCAGCTGCTGAGAAAGATGGGTTGGACGGGTGGTGGTTTAGGTAAATCTGGTGAGGGCATTCGGGAGCCAATCTCTGTCAAAGAGCAGCATAAGCGGGAAGGGCTTGGTCTTGATGTAGAAAGGGTAAACAAAATTGCCAAGAGAGATATTGAACAGATCATCAGAAACTACGCCCGCTCCGAGAGCCACAGCGATTTGACTTTCTCTACAGAGCTGACTAACGACGAGCGGAAGCAAATACATCAAATCGCCCAGAAGTATGGTCTTAAAAGTAAGTCTCATGGGGTAGGCCATGACAGGTACCTGGTGGTAGGTAGAAAAAGACGGAAGGAAGACCTCCTAGATCAGCTCAAACAGGAAGGCCAAGTGGGGCATTATGAGCTTGTGATGCCTCAAGCAAATTGAGATCTTACTAATTTATTTTGTAAATGCCTAATGAGGCATATCTGTGAATTAAAGAAATGCTACATGTTCCAGTTGCAGAGTATATTCATTCTCAAGATGTTTCACCTTGTTCATTTCATATAGAGCTCTATTAGATATTGGAACCTGAAAAAGTATGTCCACTTGTATTAGCTTAATCCAGCAGATGCTTTTGTGCAGTTACCATTTGTGTCTTTGATATTGCTGTGTCCCTCAGATTTTAGTAGTTTGTACAAAGCAAGAGCGCATATCCAAGTGAAATTTCACCCTGAGAAAGAAATTCCCATCTTGAAGGGCATAGCACAGCAACCCGCAACAATATGTGAAGTTGATATTAACTACAGTTAAACTTAATTCCAGACTTAAAATGTCAGATCATTTTGTATTATCTATTTTCATCTTTGTGTGAATCCAGTTATAGAATGTTTAACAGTAACTTGTGCTGTACGTGTAAATGTCCTTATCGACTAAATGATGTAAAACTTTCTTAAAATGAATTTAGTGTTCGCTTATTTATAACTTCTACCATGTGGTTTTCAGCATATTGGAAGTGTGTATTGTACCTTGTGATATATCAGTTTTAACAAATTCTAGTCTTCATGCTGAACGAGCACTACTTGAGAGAGCACTTGAAAACTTTCAGAGACTTTGGTTTAACCTGAAGAAAGGAAGCTGGAACTGTTTGTTCTTGGTGCCTTGCAGAGACTCACAGCAACTCTCCATTGTAGCTTTCACGCAGTTTGGATGTACAGCGCATCCAGGGCGGCCAGAGCTGTAGTAGAACTTGGTAAAAGACTGAAGATACATTGGTGCTTTGATGAAAAGGTCTGTTGGCTGGTCACTCTCTCAAAAAGCTTATTAAGCTCAAAAGCCAACTTTGTAACATATTTAAAACAGCTATTTTTCGCTTATTTCTGGAATGTAAAAAGAAAGTATATAAAAAGAATGTGTGTGCTTCCTGAATAAAAAGGAGCCAAAGTTGATCAAAATGGCGGTGTGCTTATTTCTGGGCAGTAGCCTAGTAGCGACACTTTGGGGATCTGAAGAGGGGAAGTGGTGTTTGCACAAAGTATTTCAACACCAGAGCACACGTGGATGAACGTAATGACTTAGCAGAGAGGAACGGCTCATCAGTCACTCATGTTTTTCCTATGGACCAATATGCTGGCTGCAACCAAATCTCAGGCTGTTTAATTTTATGTTTTTGTATCTCAGATAAATCAAGTATTAATATTCACACTACTAATATTCAGAAGTGAATATTAATGTTAAACACCTCCAATGAAATATTTAGTATAATTAGGTTGTTTGCAGTGTCTTAAAACATTCAGCACCATGCTTGACATGTAACTGTCCCACAATAAACAGAAATTTCTTTTCTCCTCTTTTTTATATTTGACATTAAGAAGCTGTCCGTTGTAGTTAAATCAGTATTTTAAAAATATAAAGGGATTAACTTTTATACCTGGATCTCTTAACTTTTAATCACCTACAATGATTGACACAGTATATGATACTTGCTTTCCACTAAGTCTCTGCCTCGTGTGTGGCCCTTTCCTAATGTTGGTAGGAAGAGAAGTGAGGTGTGCATTTTATTTGGCACCTAATGTTTTAACAATGGCAAAGGGAACTAAGCTAAAATGTTTATAGTTTTTTTTTGTTTGGTTTTTTTTTGTACCTAAAAGGCTCATACCAACCTTGAGAAGCTATGGTTCAATTAGTGAGTTAGGGATTAAGGAATGTAAAAATTCTTTTCTCTCTACATTTCTTTCCTCTTCCCAAAATTATTTTTTGGGGGGAAGGAGTAGGGGAATGTTACATATAAATCTGGCTTATTTAGGTAAGTTTGACAGAGCAGAATATTAATTTAGCTAAAGTTAAGACTCCCAAGTAATTGGGCTAAGTATGTATTTGGTTCTGGATTTGAGGGCCCAAGATTTCCCAACTTCTTAGATCAGCTTTGGTATTGATGTGGAAATAGGGTGAAGTCACTTAACTCTGAAAACAAAGTATGCTGAGAAATGGGTTTGGCAATAATGAGCTGCTGACAACCTTGCTATTGTTTTTGTCCCCTATTGGTTCCTGTATTTCCCCTTCCTTTGAAATAGTAAGTTTTAACCCAGTAACCTTGCACAGTATATGACCAGTTTTAAGTTTTGAGTTACTTAAATGTTATACTAAGAAACTGTTTTCAGTTACACACACACACACACACACACACTGAGTTTCAGATATTAGAATTTCCCCACTCCCTTTTGACTGCAAAATGAATGGAATTTTATGCATTCTGTTGGGATTCTTTAGTACAATGCATCACTTGACAGTTAACAGTCCCTGAAGCTGGAGAGAGCCCTAAAATAAAGGACTGTAATTACAACTTTTCTCCTTATCATGCCCCCTTTCCCACATCAGCAGGTGCAGAATTGAAGACTCAAGTTCAGATCTGTCATTTTAAAAGGAGCCTCACATAAACTTTTAACTTTATAAATTATTGTTATATGCAGGCAGCCTGAGGCATTTGTGGGGAAAAAAATGGTAAAGAAAAAAGATAAATTAGCATTAAATGTCAAATGAATGGTTTCTGATACCTTTTACCATGGGTATGATGCTTTGGGAGGTCAGCTTGTTGACTTGTGAGGTTTTGAAAGGGTTATCCCATGAGAGATTGGGACTAGTGTTTCTCAGGAGGTGTATAAAATAAAAAAATAAGATCTTCACATTACTGATCTCACCTTAATTTTTTAAAGTGTGGTTAACAGTGTCAGTAAGATACCCAACCACAATAGGATAAAAAAGTAAATGTAAAACTAATATATCAAGTGGAGACCAATTTAATGTTTCTACTTTGAAGCAGAAATGGACTTAAAGTAAATAAGGATACTGCTCCTAAGTGAAACAAACCAGTTAATGTGGTCAGTGTAGAATGAACTCGTCCACATTGAGCCTCCTTAAAGTGCCATGTCTTAAAGGATGAATGGGTACAATACCTTAAGGATTTAATTTTATTTAGTTCCCTCCCCCAAACAAGAGGTAAGTTTCCACAAAGTCACTGTTCTTGTCTATATAAAAAGGAAGGGGATGTTTCTCAGAAGAGTTTTGTTTAAGCAAGATAACTTGAGGATACCTGTACTCCCAAACTTTACACAGAACTGAAAATACCACTTGAATAGTTTGGTGCTGTTTGTTTTTAAGCTAGGGCTTTTTAAAAGAGGTGGATGTCAGGACAAGTTAGGTGTTAGTCTCTGAGGGTGCTGGTAAAAATCCGGGTTTGTTTATTCTCTCCTCTGATCCCAATTTCATTCCTTTGATTGATCATAATATTAATGCTAAAGCAGCTTTGTTTTAAGTTTTACATTCTGTTAAATTTTTTTTTTGAAAAGCATTAATACTTATGACTGAATAGAAAAAAGATTCTAACAGTATCTATTCTTTTCCCAGAATCTGTATTTTTGCTTTTAAGATGTTTATTTCAAAGGGGGGAAAGTAGATATTTGATTTCAATAATACTAAAAGTTCATACTGAGCTAAAATATAATTATACCTTGACTACAAAATTTTAAGTTTATTTTTATTTACAAGTTTTGAAAAATGTACATTTTTTACATGGGTTACTTGTGCAAAGTTAGATTTAGAAGAGTGATAAATGCACACAAGGTGACAATGGAACATTTAGACAAAACATTTACAAGCCTTGCCCCACACTGCTACTTAAAAGGTACTATTTAAAAGTATAAATATCCAAAGAAAGATTGCAAACATTGACTTTAAGGTTCTTATAATACTGAAAGGAAAGAAGAAACTAAAGCATGCAGCATTAACTCAGGATTTGCGTGGAAAATAGTTTGCCACAGATACGCTCTTTTCATTGGGTTAAAACTCTAAAAAATGAGGGGAGATTACAAATTTGTTCATCTAAGGTAGCACTACTTTAAAGAGATTAAAGGATCACCAACCTTCCTCACCTTAAAAATGTTTCCATTCCTCTGCTCCTACACCTCTTTAAAAAGTAAAACCCAGAATACTTCCAGTACAGTTGTCCCTAAGTATCCATCAGAATAGACACAACCAGCAGAGGCTTAACTACCTAGTACATATCAGCGACAACAAAACTCCTCCCCCTGGGGTTGGTTGAATCCATGGATGTGGTACCTGCAGATACAGAAGGCTGACTGTAGTCTGACACTTAGCATGAGTGTGTCCAATGAATATCTTGCAAGGAGAGTATGTGTCAGTGGCTACAATGACTGTACTCCTTTGGCTGAGTCCTTTAACACTCTCCTTTCTACCAATAAAAACCACCTAGTAATGCATATTGGTTAGATCTTAGAAATAATGCATTTTTAACTTTCATTTCTTTCAAAATGGACGTTTATATGGATTTCTTTCCCTATTTTCTATAGGCCATATTCCAAATGTTCACTTCTAAGTCCAACACAAGTGTCTCAGCCAGGATGAAACATTTAAATCATTTTGTTAAACTTCCCGGTTATCAAGCTATGCAGAAGCACCACTTGTATAACAATTTGTTTAAAAAGCTTAGTGTAAAGTACGGTAACAAAATACTGCCTCACAGCTGGAGATGAGATATAACAGGAAAGGAATTAAGCATTAGTAATTTTTGCACGTAACCCAGGTACAGTACATTTGATCTCATAGAGGATGTTTTGATGTTCAAGAAGATAGAAGGGGTAGGAAAAGTTTGGCGAGGAAAGATGGAAACAGCAGAATAACTATTTTGCTTTTAATGAAGTAAATGTGATGACACAAGAATAAGAAGGTGACAAACACATCAATATATAGTTTTCATATGCCCAGCCTCTTCATTTGCTGCACCCGAGTCAACAATCACGCCAGCTCTGTTCTACTATCGCAGAAACACGTTTCTCATATTCCCGCTTGTTCTCTTGATACAGCTGAGCAGCCTGGCTGTTTGCTGGACTATTGGGATTGGGCTCATCCAATAGAGACTACAAAGACAATTTGTAAAAGGTCAGTTCCTAGATGCAGTATATGTATTTGCTAGTAGCTAGGCAAATATACACATTCTGGTGGCTGAGGTCTTAAGACCAACCTTTTACCTTAAGTTATGACTTTCAAAACAATTCAGTTGCTAATAAAAACATATAAAAGGCCAGTTAGTCACATGAAGGAAAAAATCACCTGTATTGATGTTAAAATGGAAGACACATCATAAGTTGGACTCCAGCGATTCTGAAGTATGTCCAGACATATACTACCATCTGCATAGACTAAGAGCAGAGAAGTATCTATGTTAAACATAACAAAACCATTACGATTTTAACAGCATAGTCAAGACAACACAGTCAAGAATATTTTGCTTTTGAGATTTAACAAGGTTTCCTCAGCTACTCCTCAGTTACTTTCCTAAAAATAGTCAGAAGCATTACTAATGAAATAATCAGGATAGGAGAATGTCAAATGTAATCAGTATAAAACTGGAAGATACTTAGTGTTCCTTCTGAAAAGAGCGCCCCATTATCTAGGAAATCATAAACATTTTCTAACAGGGTCCCCAGCCATCCAGAGATGTGTGAGAAATTCATCCCATCAAAGTAGTAACCTATATCTCCTATATGAAATAACAAAAGATAGCTCACAAGATTTCATATTGGCATGAAGATAGATAAATATTTGATAACCTGGAAAATACTTTATTAACCTGAATAAAAGGCAAGCTGTTCCAGGCTTACTACTAGGGAAAAAAGAAGAAGAAAATGGTAAGTTACAATGACCTGTGGTGCTTTTCCAATATAATATTGTATACCTGGCCCTCAACCACAGATATTCAGTACGTCTGGACTGGGGCTAGAGCATCTGTATTTTTTAAATGTTCCATGGTAATTCTGATCTGTAACCAAAGTTGGCAACTATTGTCTTAAATACTAAGGAGCCCAGCCAGTGTGGCTCGGTGGTTGAGAGTTGACCTAAGAATCAGGTGGTCACAGTTCAATTCCCTGTCAGGGCATATGCCCAGGTTGCAAGTTCCATCCCCAGTGTGGGGCATGTAGGAGGCAGCCAAGTGATGATTCTCTCTCATTATTAATGTTTATTTTTTAAAAAAATATTTTTATTGATTTCAGAAAGCAAGAGGGAAAGATAGAAACATCGATGAGAGAGAATCATTGATAGGCTGCCTCCTGCACACCCCACACTGGGAATCGAGCCTGCAACCCAGCATGTGCCCTGCCCAGGAATTAAACCGTGACCTCCTGGTTCACAGGTCAATGCTCAACCACTGAGCCATGCCAGCCAGGCCTCATGTTTCTATCTCTCTCTCCCTCTCCCTTCCTCCCAATATTAAAAAAAAAACACTAGTGAAAAATTACAACATAAGACTACCCCAATCTGGCCTAACATTAAAAGGAAACCTCAAGAGCATCCTTACTTTTGTTTAATAAGTAAATGACTAAGATCATCAAAATCAGGAGGCTCTCAGACTCCAAGCAAAGGCAAAGTAGCTTCCTTGCTTTAGTTCTAGGACTATAGCTGAAGCCCGCAATAGCACACCATGAACAAGTTCAGTTTTCAGGAAACAGCAGGATGCCTAAATACTCAGGTACCACAGACAAATCCATAGGAACGTGGAACAAACACCTCCCTAATAAACAGTGCAGTTGTTTTAAATACTGTATTAAAAGTGATACTTGCCATTTGGATGAAACATCTTAGAGACAAATCTAACCGTAGGTGGTTTATTTGGATATTCCTCAGTGAATTCTATTATAAGCTTAAATGTTCCTGTAGTTAGAAAAGATAGGTTTAAGAAAACATAGTTATCACTTTGTTCAGAAGTATTTTTTTTTTAATGCTATGTGACTTTTCCCCAATTGTTAAATGAAACAATGCAGAGAGAGAGAGACCAGCTAAGAGATACATCTCCAGGAATTGGCTCTAAAAATGGACAGATATTTGTTTTTTGTTTTGACATTATTCTCCTCCAAACTTAAACACAGCCATCTTAAAACTAAAAATTACTACCTGTAGGATAACTTTAACCACTGTGCATATTGAAGACAGCCTTAAAATGACAAGAAACTAAAGCCAAAATGTGGCCTTCCTTTAGAAAATTGGAAGATCTTAAAGGCCCATTTGAATCAGCTGCCATCATAAGCTCTCCAGAGATTTTTAAATGGACTAGAGAGAATGGAATTACAAAGGTTCAAAAATCAATGCTAGAAACACAAATCAATAATCAAATTATTTTTAAATTAGAAGGGAATAGGCATAAAAGTGTTCACTGGTTCCTTTCCATATATAATGGTAACTCTATAATGAAAATATAATTGAATGTGAATCGGGAAAAAAACTTCATAGTCCCTCTCAAAACCTTTAAGTATGACTCACAAAGTACTTCACTATAAAATCAACTTAATCATTCACACTAATGGAGGGAATTAATGGCAGAAGTAATTTAAAAATCTCATTCGATTACATTCATGTCTCCAGAGAATTTATCTTTCTAATGATGAATTTATTTTTCTTAAATATGTCAACTAAGGTAGCAGGAGGCTCTAAAGCACACTAGATTATAGGCTTATAAGTAAAGGATAAACTGGATCTCATTCAAGAATTATAGGATGGCCGAAACCGGTTTGGCTCAGTGGATAGAGCGTCAGCCTGCAGACTGAAAGGTCCCAGGTTCGATTCCGGTCAAGGGCATGTACCTGGGTTGTGGGCACATCCCCAGTAGGAGATGTGCAGGAGGCAGCTGATCGATGTTTCTCTCTCATCGATGTTTCTAACTCTCTATCTCTCTCCCTTTCTCTCTGTAAAAAATCAATAAAATATTTAAAAAAAAGAATTATAGGATGATGTGATTTGGGGAGATTATTTCCTTAAAAAATATTATTTTTAATTTGGTTTAATAAATTCAAGAAAACAATTGGGCAACTATTTTTTCCTGACTGAAGTCTCTTCAAGTAAACTTCTGAAATCAGTTACTATCTAGTATAAGGTGATGTATGTTCTACTATATTACTCTGGTATATTAAATAAATCACTTATTCTAATATAATAGATCACAGTTCAGATAAGAGTATAATTTGGTACTGTTTCCTTCAGAGTAGGCAATTTATTTATTTCTTGCTTCCATTAATAGTCTCCAAATGATCGTTAAACCTCCCTAAGGACAAAAGGTAAAATATTTTAGAATGGACAAACATGCTATAGTCCTTCAGAACATACTTCACCTTAATCACCACCTGGTCATAAATCTTTCCTTTTTTGAGGAAGAAAGCATATTCTTCCTTTTCAGTACTATAGATACTATAATATGCAAGAAAAAGTGGGAATCAGTGTTTAAGAGAGTTCAAACTTGGAGCTTCCATATGTATCTCGAGTGTAACATTTGGCTCAATGCTGAAATCTGATAAAATTATAGGCAAGAGATTTATCATTAAGGAATTGCTCTACAATTGGGCAGATTTCATAGCACATGGAGCTCTCAGGTACTTTAAATTAAAACCACCATTAAATACAATACCTAAAGGTAGTAAAACAACACTAAGGCTGGCATAACTGGAACTCTGAAGTCACACAAACCTAGGCTCAAATCCTAGCTCTGCTACTGACTAGTTGTGAAACCTTGGGGAAGCCACTCAGCTTGAATAAACCTCAAGTTCCTCATCTGTAAAATGGAGTTAATAATAGTACCCAACACCTAACATTGTTGTGAAGTTTAAATGAGGGAAATATGCACAGTGACACAAAATAAGTGCTCTATAAATATTAATAATTCTAAAGTTTCACATCTTGATACACAGCTAAAGAAGGCAAAACCTCAAAATCCAAGCTTCACTTTTAGTAAGAAATAAACAATTAATGGATTCAAATATTAAATAGTACTTTCTTTCTGATCTATATCAAACACTCAGTTAAATGCAAGTTGAGTACCTATGTTGGTGGTTCTCAAATCCCTTGAGCTTTCTGTCTAATATTTGCCTAGAAGTTCAACAAGGTGCTTACCTAGCTACCAAAGAGGCAAGTCTTTTAAAGCAGCTCATTTAATATCTTGAGAAGTGAAATAATCTGCTATGTCCACTTGAATATAAATTAGGACTTACCCAAATCTTATTCAAAGCACATATTTAAGAAGGGATATTTCATATTGCTAGCCAGATTAAACAATCAACACCTCTTTTGTATAACCCTCAATGTAATTTCTGAGGTCCAAAACAAATATTAAAGAAATTTAAAATCTTATAATTAATATTATGCAATTGAGGACAGAGCTTAGCCTCTGAATATTTAGGAGGCTAGGCTTAAAATTTAAGCCTCAAAATAACACACAATCTGTACTGATTTTGTTCAAGAACCTGAGGAGGCCAAAACATTTTAAGGAAAGTATCAATCAATCCATCTATAAGTAGGAACCAGGAAAATTATATAAATGTGTTAAATGACTAGGTGTATGGCAATAAGGGAGTGATGGTTAAACTAATAGAGTGTATGTCCTGCTACAGATATTCACAAATTCAAATTTTTAAAAACATTGTGTTGGCCAAAGAAACACCTCTGCAGACATTTCTTGCCACTTGGCCATTAGATAGTGACCCCTGAAAAGAAAGCAAAGTAAAAACTGATGGACATAGATAACAGTGTCTATGGTGGGGGGAGTGGGAGGGAGTGGGTAGAGATGGAAGAGGGTATAGGGGAGATAAATGGTGATGGATAAAATAAAATAAAACAGAGAAAAATAAAGCAAAGTACACATACTTAAAACATGTTTGACGACTGAAAATTCTAATTTTTAAGATAACAACACTCAAGTCCTCTATCATAGGATTTATTTAGCTTAAAAACATCCTCAGTGGGTTTTAAGCAGAGGTCCTCAAACTTTTTAAACAGGGGGCCAGTTCACTGTCCCTCAGACCGTTGGAGGGCCGGACTATAGTTTAAAAAAAAAACTATGAACAAATTCCTATGCACACTGCACATATCTTATTTTGAAGTAAAAAAACAAAACGGGAACAAATACAATATTTGTATTTGCATGTGGCCCGCGGGCCATAGTTTGAGGACCCCTGGTTTTAAGTGATTCATTTTTTTTTGAAAAATCTTACACCCAAATTCTTAAGCATACACCTATTATGAAAAACAAATACTAATATCTTACTGTGTCTATTAACAAAATTTATATGTGACGAAGAATGCTTTGTTCCATAGCCTTTGCATTCAGTATGCATAACCACATATTTTGATGAGGAAGCACTACCCTCCGGCCCCCAGTGCTTTGTTTGGTAGTGTAAGCTCTTGGAAACATTGTCCTCTTACTTTGAGAGTGTGAAATTAAATCAGAGTTGTTTTTCTTAAGGTTTCATCTCTTTAACTAGGGCCTGGCAATTCCAGAAACTTCCATTACAAACGGTTTACAAGGAAGCAGCAAAAATAGTTTTGGGGCTGTTAATTTATAACATACATTGGAAACAGGGAAAAACCAACTACCCCACTTGTCCCTAATCAGTCTTTTTCAGTAAATTCCTTAACCATAAATGAGAGGTATTAACAGACGGTCAAATATATTTGTAGCCCCTGTCAGTGTTCTAGACACCTGAGGAAGCATTCTTGGATAGCAGACTGCTCAACAGAATGAATCAGAAAAGAGTACTGACATTTAGCATGAGTAATTCCTTTCAGTAATGCCAGCATGGAGATACACATCATCAAAAACAGAGTCATTAATGTCAAGAGGGAAAGTCCGGATAGATAATGGATTCCATAAGTACCTTTTCAATTGTTACCACTTAAAACAAGAGAAGCACCCTTGAAATATTTAAGTAGTCACCCCTGGCAGTGATGTACTATTAATAAACCTGTGCCCAGGATAAAGAAGTCAGTAAAATCAGGAGGGGGAAAAAATGAAGCCAATGAAAACAAAGCCTGCTAAAGTTAAAGCAAATACACAGTTAATCTGCATATAAAGCTTAGGTAAGGAAGAACTAGTACCAATGCTGCACAGCAAAATTGTCTTGCTATGGATCAGTTCAAATGATTTACTGCACCAAAGTAGTGTGCTTTTAGGACCCCTCTTCTGCTGTCATTTCTTTTTATTGCAGGACTGAAGAGCAGTGATATTTACCCAGGGAATGAAGGTAGACAGGAAACTATAAGTATTTAGATGACTGTCTGTAACCTCCTAGGGAAATCTGAGTATTTGAGACAAATTATAGAATTGGTTGATATTGACCTACCTTGTGGACTGGTAGCATCAGAGAGTGGTCCAACTTGACAACATAAATATGTACTCAGTAGCTTGCAACAACAATGCTTTTGTTCCTACCTTCAAACTGAATTATGACTACATGACTAAAGGAAGATAAGTCATTGAGAAAGAATAACAGATTTTCTTTAAAAAAATACCTCAAATATTAAAGATGTCAGACAGAGGTTCAAATACTTTTAATCATCTTTTAAATGAATTAAACGCTCAAAAAAATAACTACACACACAATTGAGTGCACATAAAACCATATCATTGTCAATTTCCTATTTGTGATATTGTAATATAGTAATTCAAGATGTTACCAAAGAATGGGGTGGGGAAGTGTGTAAAGGATACACACAGTCTATTATTATTTATTACAACTGCACATGAATCTATACTTACCTCAAAATAGGAAGTTTAAAAAGAATCTTTAAAAAGCAATGAACACGTGTTTTTTTAAAGTCAAATCTAAATCTCTGAAAACTCATTTAAAATAAGAAACTATTATATTCAAACTGGCCACTAAAAACCATTTTAGAGCAAGCAGCGAAGCTGACAGGCATTCAGTGCCAGATTGTAGAAACTAGATAGTTGTGTGCAAGGGATGCTTGCATCCATTCAACATCTGAGAACCATATTATTAAGCACCTGCTGTACACAGTTCCTGCCCTGTGGTAGAATGCTAACCAGATGGTCTCTGAGTCTATCAGCAAGTGTTTGGGTTGATATTCAGTATCTTGATGGGGGCCTGAATATTGCAGATCACAGCCCAGACCTCAGAAGTCTTTAATATCAGTGCTACGATGCTCCTTTAAAAAAGTGACTGCCTTACCCAGATTTTTAGTTTTAAAGAAGCAAGCAAGAAAAAAGGTGCAATTCTAGTCAAGCAGACAAGACTGAACAACCTGCCACATACTGGATTCCACTCAAGCCTTTAGTAGGCAGAGGCTAGAGAGAAGCAGGTTCCTAAGTAGGAGGCACTTCCAGGATGACTAGGAGCCCTTTCCCCAAATGATCAGGCTCCGGAAAGGTGTGTAAAGAAACTCTCTTACCATCCTCAAATGGGGTCCCTTCGGGCCTGAAATACAGAGAAAAACATGTCAGTTCCCGCTTAAGGGGTCCCCTATACCCTGGTTCATTTTAGGAAATGGCTATTCCAGGCTCTGCCAAGCATTGCTAACTCCCCCTCTGGTAAAAAGCCCGATTCCTGGGTCGAAAGCCACTACAAAAGCTGTTTCAGGCTTAGAAACCGAGTACAGGCCGCCGCGCCTAACCGCCACCACTCCCCGCCCCGCCCCCCTGAGAACCCCAAACGGTTCCCCTGGCAGCGGGAACCGAGCTAATCAAGCTAATCGAGGCACAGGCTCCGGGGAGGCGCCTAGGCCCCGCCAGACCCCAACACTTTCCCTTTCCCACCCTGCCTGCACCAGGGGCCGGTCCCCAGAGCCGGAAGAGCCGCCTAGCATCCCCCATCTCTCGCCAACGCCCGGAAAGCAGACTCACCCAAAAATGACCGCGTTCCAAACCATTATGTTGTTCTCTGACGGAGCCCCACTGACTCCAGCAGGAGGATCCTCCTGTAACCTTTTAGAGAAACCGACGGGGCCCCGTTACCGGGCAGCCGCGACGCTGCCGGTTACCTCAGGGCTTCCCCCGCCCCATGCCCCCGGGCCGCCTGGGGACCCGCCCTGAGTCCGGTAGCCAGCCCGCGGCCGCCGCGGTCCCCGCCGGTTACCTCTTGAAGTCCCGCATGAGACGCCGCCGAGCCGGGGTAGACATATCTCGAGCGGGGTCAGGGCTGGGGCATACACTGAAATCGCGGGTCCCAGCCGAGGGTAAGGAGGCCGACGAGGCTGAAGAAGCCGAAGAAGCCTGGGAGGAAGCGCCCAGAGGAACCGCACTGCCCCTCCGAAGTCGAGGGTCGGTCTGGCGCCGGCTAAGCACCACCCCGGAGTATACAGGGGCTGAACCAACCTGGAAGGAAGGGGGGGGGAATGGAACGCCGAACGCCGGACGGGCCGTACCAAGACGGGCGGGGGGGGCGTGGAAGGAAGTTGCTTAGGTCATTAAAGCACGGCCAGAGGCACGCGGGGCTGAGGCTTTTCACTGGCCAACGGGAGCCTATAGTTCCAGGACTGGGTAGTGGAATGGGCTGTACCCCCACTTGTCAAGTCTAAGACGAATCCTGGGAAGCTTTTTTTTTCCAGTTATCTTTTTTTTGTCTTTCTTTATTAAAAGACCAGATCACTTGAAGTGCGCCCTGTGGCTGGGGGGACAAGGATAAAATCCCAAACTAGAAGAGGAGGAGTGGGCGGAGGCAAACCAGAAGGTTCTCAAAAAGCGGGAACAATGCATGCACATCCTCTGCGGACACAGGACACTGGGGAGGGCTCTGTGTCCCGTCAAAATCACTGAAAATCCAAAGAGTAAATCGGCCTCGACTATGAAAGGGGCTGTGGGTCCCTTTTCTGTGGAATGAATGTGAGGGATTTGAGTCCCAACATTTAGGCCAATAATCACTCCCAAGCAAAATAAAATGGTGGTGTGTCCTGGACGGGAGGGGGGGGGGGCAGGAATGAGAGCTTAAGACAATAATGAGGTTTTAGCTCTGAGCACTCACAATTTGGTTCTGGAACCACATTTTCCCTTGGCAGTTCAACAAGCCAAACTGCTGCTATATGTTCAGAAAAATCCAAGGTCTGAGAATGTTGGACTGCAGAGAACTGCAAGGGCAGTGGAAGAAGCTGCAGATTGCAGGGAAGAGTCACAGTTGGGATGCAGACCTGCAAAACCAATAACAGTTTTAAAGAATGATTTTTAAAGGTTAACCCCAAATAACTTAGAAGGTAGGCAAAATATTCATTTAAGAATTTGTGAGGCCGAAACCGGTTTGGCTCAGTGGATAGAGCGTCGGCCTGCGGACTGAAAGGTCCCAGGTTCGATTCCGGTCAGGGGCATGTACCTGGGTTGCGGGCACATCCCCAGTAGGAGATGTGCAGGAGGCAGCTGATCGATGTTTCTCTCTCATCGATGTTTCTAACTCTCTATCTCTCTCCCTTCCTCTCTGTAAAAAATCAATAAAATATATTAAAAAAAAAAAAGAAATTCTTTAAAAAAAAAAAGAATTTGTGAGGCCCTAACCTGGTAGCTCAGTTGGTTAAAGCATTGGCCAAGGATGCCCATTTGGATCCCCAGTCAGGGCACATAACAAGCATCAACCAATGAATGCATAAATAAGTGGAATAACAAATCGATCTCATTCTCATTCTCTCTCTCTCTCTCTCTCTCTCTCCTTCCCCCCTCAAATCAATAAATATAAAAATACTATTTTAAAAAGAGATTTTGAAAATATGAGAAAGGTAGGTTTGGGTTAAGTCCTGAAGAGTTTTGAATGCCAAACCAATGGATTTCTTGGAAGGTGGATGAGCAGAGAAGAGACATGATTACAACTGTGCCAATCAGAGATTGGTCCCAGGAAAGCAGCTAGGAGATTCCTGAAGTATTCTAGGTGAGAGATACTGAACCAGGCAGTGACAATAAAAATGGAAAGGAGGGGGAGAGTAGAGAGGAATTGGCAACAGAGTGACTGGTGGATGGGGAATAGACAGAGGAAGGAGTCATCAATGGCTGGAGTTGTAAGTGCAGAGGCAACTGGAGATTTGAAGGTGCCATGAAAACAATTAGAAAATAGAGGGGGAGGGGCAGCTTTGGGAGAGGAAATTTGGGAACTTACTGAGTTCATGGGACTGGTGAGACATACAGATGAAGATGTCCATAAGATATCAGATGTGTAGAAATTTGTTTCTAATATGGGAGGTAGGAGACACTTGAAAATAGTAGTAATTCTAGTTGCTGCTTAACAACAAGTACTTTTATGCCAAGGATTTATATCTCCCATTAACTCCAAAATATCAGTTAAGGCAAGTGTCCCCAGTAACTTCACATTATGGCTGTGGTGTGAAGGGGGACAAAAATAAATTTTAAAAACCTTTTCCTCTCATCTAGAAACATGGACTAAGACCTATGAAATCAACAAAAGCATGATGTACAAAAGCAAATGCATTCATTCTCTACTGCTGTTGAACAAATTACCACAAACTGTTGGCCAAGTTCAGTTCTGTGTAGTTATAAGACTAAGCTCCCCATTTTCTCACTGCTTGCCAGCCAGGGACCATTTTCAGCTCCTATAGGTCTCCCACATTGCTTGCCATGTGGCCTGTTCCTTCTTCAAAGTCAGCAACAGAGAATTTTTCTCTCATCCAATCCCTCTCACACTCTGAATGTCTTTCTTCACAAAGAGCCCAGTTCACTTTAAAGGTTTATCTGATTAGGACAGGCTACCTCAGATAATCTCCTATCTTAAAATCATCTAACTTGGGCCCAGATGGCGTGGCTCTTTGGTTGAGTGTTGACCTATGAACCAGGAGGTCATGGTTTGATCCTGATCAGGACCCAGGTTGTGGGCTCAATCCCTAGTGTGGGGTGTGCAGGAGGCAGCCGATCAGTGATTCTCTCTTTCCCTCCCCCTTCCTCTCTGAAGTCAATAAAAATATATTTTAAAAAATCATCAGACTTGGAGCCTTAATTACATCTGCAAAATTCCCTCACAACAGAACCTAAATTAGTGTCTGATTGAATAACTAAAAGAAGGTGTGTGTACATCAATAGTCAGGAATCTTGAGGGAGGGGGTTGCATTGGAGAATTCTGCCTACCAAAGCAGCAGGAAGATACATAGCAGAAGCATGTGAATCCAGCAGGTGACTCATTGGTTTGGTCTGGTTAGAACAAGCTTCCTGGAAAGGATCTATATAAACTTTATTTCAAAAGAGATGAAAGCAGGGCTTGGAAGAGAAGAACTCAAGCAGTTTCTGGGGGGGCGATAGCACCAACAAAAACCATGTTCTGACCTGGCCAACGTGGCTCTTTGGTTGAGTGTCAACTATGAACCAGGAGGTCATGGTTTGTTTCCTGGTCAGAGCACATGCCCTGGTTTCAGGCTTGATCCCCAATTGGGGGTGTGCAGGAGGCAGCTGATCAATGATTCTCTCTCATCATTGATGTTTCTCTCTCTCTCTCTCTCTCCCTCTCTCTCTCCCTTTTGCTCTGAAATCTATCTATCTATCTATCTATCTATCTATCTATCTATCTATCATCTTTTTTAAAAAAACGAAGTCCTGCCCTAACCGGTTTGGCTCAGTGGATAGAGCGTCGGCCTGCAGACTGAAGGGTCCCAGGTTCGATTCCGGTCAAGGGCATGTACCTTGGTTGCGGGCACATACCCAGTGGGGAGTGTGCAGGAGGCAGCTGATCAATGTCTCTCTCTCATCGATGTTTCTTTCTATCCCTCTCCCCTTCTCTCTGTAAAAAAAATCAATAAAAATATAAAAAAAAGAAGAAAAAAAAGAAACGAAGTCCTTTTCAGTTGAAAGCGTGTTAGCAATGCAGCTTCAGGGAAGATAAAAAAAAATTGTCTATAGGCAAGGATTTGAGAATTTTCCTAAAAGGAGGACTGTGAAATATAGGAGTACATGACTAGGGAAATTGTAGAAGTTCATTCATGCAGCTTTCAAAATGCAGAGTGGATTGTGATTTTCCTGAACTATTTTGGGTTGGAAGGAGAGACTGGATAACTGATCATTTCCTGCCTGTGAGGCTGTGAGTTTGTATTTCTATTAGCCAGTGAAGGCAAGCAATTTTATTATCACTTCTGTTGATAAAAATGTAGTCCAAACGGCAACCAAGAAACGACAGAAAATCAAACAAAATGCCTTCCTTGACTCTAATAATCTCAGAAGACGAGTCAAGAGAATCACATAGGAAACAAGTTGTCACAGTGTGGCTTTGGGCAATAAAAGTAGTAGTATGGTTAAGTGTCGTCCTGTGCACCAAAAGGTCACTGGGTTTGATTCCCAGTCAGGGCACATACCTGGGTTTCGGGCTCAGTCTCCAGCAGGAGGCATGCAGGAGGCAGTTGATCAGTGTTTCTCTCTTACATCAATGTTTCTCTCTCTCTCTCTCTCTAGAAAAATATTTTAAAAAACATAGTAGTATGCTGTTCATTTAGAGCCCCTAGGACATAGAGAGAGAAAGAGAGAGAGAGAGAGCAAAGTGAAAGAGAAAGAGAGATAGAGGGGGGAGAGTAGGGGAGGAAGGAGAAGAGAAAGAAAAACTGAAACTTAGTGAAATATCACCTCTATATCTTTTTAAAAATATATATTTTATTGACTTCAGAGAGGAAGGGAGAGGGAGAGAGATATAGAAACATCAATGATGAGAGAGAATCATTGATTGGCTGCCTCCTGCACACCCCCTACTGGGGATCAAGCCCATAACCTGGGCATGTGCCCTGATTGGGAATAGAACCCTGACCTCCTGGTTCATATCACCTCTACATCTTGAAGAAATATCATCATATTGTGGCAATTTTAAAATTAAAAGTGCATATTTATCATGTCAAAACAAGAAAATAAAAGTGGAATTTTAATACCATGCTTTTAAAAAATATTTTTATTGATTTCAGAGAGGAAGGGAGAGGGAGAAATAGAAACATCAATGATGGGAGAGACTCATTGATCAGCTGTTTCATGAACACCCCCTACTGGGGATTGAGCCTGCAACCAGGGCATGTGCCCTGATCAGGAAGCCAACTGTGACCTCCTGGTTCATAAGTTGACACTCAGCCACTGAGCCACACTGTTGGGCTGAATATCAGCCTTTTAAGTGTAGACTACTTGGTTATCTATTAGATGTCAAAGCACTGTTTATTACACAGTGATACTGTAGTGTTGCTAAAAGAATATAATATACATGAACATTACTAAACTAAGCACTCATTGCAATGTTCCCAGCTCACGGGAAAGCAATGGTTAGAAAAATTAGAAAGTTTAAAACGGAACATGTTATCATAGCAGAATTCTTCACAAAAATAAAAGATGAAATGTGGCTTTGGCTAAAGTGAGTTTCTGAGTGGCTCATTTGTTAGCCAAGGAAGGAAGACCATTTACTGATTATCAGTTAATTAAATTGTGTTTGATTGCAGAAGCCAAATAATGTGTCCAGGGAAAATAAACATTTTAAAGACTATTAACCTTTCAACAAGAACAGTGGCTCAAAGACTGAAGGACATTGGAAGCAACATCAATAGTCATTTAAAAAACAAAAAACAAAAAAACAAACCAAAAAACAGGGCAACCCTGGACGGTTAGCTTACTTGGTTAGAGCGTCATCCTGATATACCAAGTTTGTGGGTTCAATCCCCAGTCAGGGCACATACAAAACTCAACCAATGAATTAATAAATTAGTGGAACAACGAATCTCTCTCTCTCTCTCTCTCTCTCTCTCTCTCTCTCTCTCTCTCTCTCTCTCTCTCCTCCCCCTTCAAATCAATATAAATAAATAAACAGGGCAAATGATTTCAAGTGGTTTTCCTTGACTCCTGAGTTCACAGATGCTTCCAATACTGTTCAGTTGTTTACTCAAAAGTCAATGCTGAGTTTAAAGTGATGGAAGGATTGACCTGTACGGGTTGTTTGTGTGGAACAACTACCAATGAGACTATTTCCAAAGAAATCAAGAAAACCCTGATTCAGTACAAGCTGAAGTAGAATCTGCTAATGTGCATTACAAATATGTACAGAGCAGAAAACAGCTTAGTTGGACAAATGAACAAAGCTTGAGAAAATGTAAGTTGTTTAAATCCCATGATTATTCATTTCATTATTAAATAGCAGGTACTTTGCAGGAAAATATTTGGATCTCTCTTGTGTTATTCAACCTTGGTGTCAACAATGTACTTCATTCACTCTCATGAACTAAACCAGGGGTCCTCAAACTACAGCCCACGGGCCACATGCAAATACAAATGTTGTATTTGTTCCCGTTTTGTTTTTTTACTTCAAAATAAGATATGTGGCCGAAACCGGTTTGGCTCAGTGGATAGAGAGTCGGCTTGCAGAGTGAAAGGTCCCAGGTTCGATTCCGGTCAAGGGCATGTACCTGGGTTGCGGGCACATCCCGAGTAGGAGATGTGTAGGAGGCAGCTGATCGATGTTTCTCTCTCATCGATGTTTCTAACTCTCTATCTCTCTCCCTTCCTCTCTGTAAAAAATCATAAAATATATTAAAAAAATAAGATATGTGCAGTGTGCATAGGAATTTGTTCATAGATTTTTTAAAACTATAGTCCGGCCCTCCAACGGTCTGAGGGACAGTGAACTGGCCCCCTGTTTAAAAAGTTTGAGGACCCCTGAACTAAACCATTGTCAGTTTCATGAATTTTTGTGTGTGTCAGAAATAGAAGCTGAATATTCTGATTTGCCCTACTAACTGCAGTTTATTAGCTTAGCAGTGGTTTTTAAAAAAGTTACTTAAAAGCTCAGGACTGAGATTGAACATTTTCTGGATGAGAAGATTCACTCTCAACCACTGTTATTGAATACTGAATGTTTTTTGAAATTAGCTTTTACTCTAGACTTGATAATGTTACTTAATAAATTTAACCTAAAATTACAAGGCAAACCACTGCTTATATGTGAAAATTGTACTGCAGTAAATTCATTTCAATGACAACTAACATTGAGTCAAAAGTAATGTCATTATTTTAATTACTTCCTGTGCTGTAAAAAGTTAAAACAAAAATCAAGATTTGTATTCCCACACAAATTTGCAGTGGATATATTTTCTGAGCTCAAATTATAGTTCGAGTGGCATTTTTAAAACCTTGATGCAAAGTGCAAAGGAAATTTCTATAATTTAAAATTAATTGTGCATTTGAGGAGCTTCCACCTAATTTTCAATTGAAGGTAATTACTCTGCAATGTAATGACATGTTAAAAGGCAAATATTAAAATAAGAATCTAATTGAGTTCTCAAAATGCCTTCTAAGAGATGAATATGATGAATTAAAATTGATTGCTTATGGATGGATATCAGTATTTGATAGTATTTATTTTTGTTCTATTTTTCCAAAGATGAAATACACAAACTCTCATTACAGATAAGCATTAACAGATGGATATTTTAAATGTTTTAAAAAAGTATTTAATACCTTTATTAACAGGTGCATACAACTTGTTGATTCTTTTGAGAAATCAAGTTATATACTTTATTACAAAGTAAAAATGAGGTTCTTAAAATGTCAATTTGGTCATATGAAACAATTTAAAAACCTTTAAAGATGTATTGAGATTGCAGGTAATTTTGATGACAGGGAACACTCGGTTTGAACCCTAAGTAAGTGAAATATTATCCCCATCCATTAAAGAATGCCAGTCTGCTCATTCATGGACATGTATTACAAAAATTTATACTCAATTATTATATTTTTAATTTCATCAATAAAATATTTGTGGAAAGTTGTTCTCTCTCTTGTTATACAAATACCTATATGATGTTCTTGATTTTACCTCTTGGCCCTCAAAGCCTAAAATATTTACTCTAGCCTTTTACAAAAAACGTTTAGCCACCCTTGCACTAAACAAAACCACACGAGGGGGTGAAACTATTTGTAATTGATCACTAAACAATCAGTATATAGCACAGTGCCTGACACATAGTAGAAGATCAATAAATACCAAATAACATAGAACTATAGGGATGACATTGGACTAAGACCAAGGAGCAAACACTGTGATTCTTTAAAACTTGCATTGATATTTCTTTTATATTTTGTTTAACTTGGGTTTATTTGAGGGCTAGCAGATTACTTAAAATTCCCATTGGTTTACATCTTGTGTATATTGAACAGTACACTTCTTCCAGCCAACCTGTCAATTTTCTAGTCATAAACTCCTGCTATCTTCAGTATGTTCCCTGTTAAAAACCCATTATTTTGGTGTCAGCATTTTGATTATTGAAGTTATTTAATGTAAACTGTTTCAATGTCCTTATTCTGGATGGCTCTAAGACAGTGATGGTGAACCTATGACATGCGTGTCAGAGGTGACACGCAAACTCATTTTTTTGGTTGATTTTTCTTTGTTAAATGGCATTTAAATATATAAAATAAATATCAAAAATATAAGCCTTTGTTTTACTATGGTTGCAAATATCAAAAAATTTCTATATGTGACACGGCACCAGAGTTAAGTTAGGGTTTTTCAAAATGCTGACACGCTGAGCTCAAAAGGTTCGCCATCACTGCTCTAGGATCTGTCCTCCACAAAAAGCATTCTGGGAGAGTTTCTGGGTTGGGGAAAAGAAATAGTGGAAGGCGTTCGCTTACACCTGTGGCAAACAGGATCATTAAGATGCCTCTATTTGCAAATCGTTTATATGGTTACGGTCTAGTAACCAGAATATATAACAATTCATACAATTCAACAATAAAATGACAACCCAATTAAAAATGGGCAAAAGATTTGAGTAGACATTTCTCCAATAAATGACCAATACATGTAAAAAGGTACTCAACATCATTAGCCATCAGGGAAAGGGAAGTCAAAACCACAGTGAGATACCACTTCACACCCACCAGGATAGCCATGATAAAAAAGATAGGCAAATATAATCATTGGTGAGGACGTGAAGAAATCAGAAGCCCCTCCCCCCTTGGATTCCTGATGGGAATGGTAAAGGCACTTTGGAAAACACTCTTGGCAGTTCCTCAGAAGGTTAAACATCAAGTTACCATATGATCCAGCAAATCCACTCCTAATCATACACCAAAGAGAACTAAAAACATGTCCTCACAAAAACTTTGTACACCAATGTTCATAGTAGCATTAGTCATTTTATCCAAAAAGTAGAAACCACCCAAATATTCATAACTGATGAATGAATAATCAAAATATACTATATCCATACAAGAAAATATTATGTAGCTATAAAAAGGAATGAAGTTCCTTTTTACTGATTCATTACTACTTTTTATTAATCCATACTACAACATGTATGGACCTTGAAAATGTTAAGTGAAAGAAGCCAGTCACCAACTACCACATATTGTATTATTTAATTTATATGAAACGTGCAGACGAGGCAAATTCATAGAGACAGAAAGTAAATTAGGGATTGGCAGGGCTTGGAAAGAGGTGGGGAGTGACTGCTAACCATACAGGATTTCTTTTGGGGATGATGAAAATTTCCTGAAGTTAGATAGTAGTAGTGGCTGTACAACTTTGTGAATATATTTAAAAACTATTGAATTATACATTTTAAGAGGGTTATTTTATGTCATGTGAATTATATCTCAGCTTTAAAAAGTCTCATCCTGAATATTGCCATTAAAATCATAGAGGCACAGACGGGAGCGGGCTGGAAGAGGTTAATGGGGGGAAAAGGAGGACCTATGTGATACTTTCAATAATAAAGATTAAAAAAATAAAATCAAAGAAAAAATCATAGAGGCACACCTAAAATCTGTATTATGCATATTGTGTAAATATAGTCCTTCGTTTTATATATGCATGTACATGCATATACATACATGTATAGAAATATAAATAAATAATTTAAAGAATATTAAGGGTGTCCCAAGCAAAGCAGTCCCATCTAACAGGCAAGGAAATGGAGCTTCTGAGCGGCTCTGGATGATCCCCCCACAGCATCTTAGCCTAATGGGACAGCCCGGAAGTTCACATGACTATTACTGACACATGATTAGCGTGACTGTAGGGGAACGGCTCAACGCGCGCGTCTCTGACGTAATTTATGCGCGACTCTTGTTTTCGGTGTTGAGTTTGAGGGTTTTTCTGAACTATGCCTAAAGTTGTGTCCCGATCTGTTGTCTGCTCCGACACCCGGGACCGGGAGGAATATGACGACGGCGAGAAGCCCCTCCATGTCTACTACTGTCTGTGTGGCCAGATGGTTCTTGTGCTGGGTGAGTAGTGGGGAACTGGCGCACGCGGAGGGGGGAGGGGGAGGCTCTGTGAGGAGCAAAACTTACGGTTCTCAAGTGTGATTTTTCTTCTGGTGATCTGGAGCCAAGTCTCTTTGAAGATTGGTAGGCTTTCCCTCTGCATCAAAATCTTCCCTATACATCCCCGCCCCGGAAGGCAGCTTTTCTGTTTTTTGTTTGCATCCAAACCTCCCTGAAAACTAATTACTCCTTCAGAAAAAGATACACTGTATCTTCTCCTCTCACTTCGCCGCCTGATGCAGTAATAGTTCTTATGTGAAAATGCAAATCGAACCCTTCCTTGATCCAACATTCTCATCCAGCTATAACCCCATTTCTTTGCTTTTTTAAAATAGCAAAACTTCTAAAAAGAGTTGCTTATATTGGCTGTTTCTGCAACCTCACTTCCCTTGACCTCACTTCAGACATCCGACCTCACCATCTAAACCGTATTTGTCAAAGTTAATAAATGAACATATTACCAGTTCCAGTGGTCAGTCAACGGTCATTTTAGTCCCCATCTCAGCAGCATTTGACAGATTTGAGCACTCTATTCTCCTTGAAACACTTTATTTGCTTCCAAGACTCTACACTCTCCTGATTTTCCTCCTATCTCGATTTTTTTTCCTCTTCTGAGTGTCTGGTTCTTTTTTTCTGTCTCAGACTTTGGCCTTGCAAGGCCCTGGGGCTCAGTCCTCTGACCTGTTCTCAATCTGTACTCACTCCCTAAGTGATCTCAACCATTTCCAAGCTTTAAATACCATATATACGCTTATGACTCCCAAATGTTCATCTTTAACCTGCACTTCTCCTCAAACTCCACCTGCCAATTTTATGTCTCTATTTGGATGTCTAAAGAGCCTTCCAAAGATATCATTGACTTCTGATGCCCTACTCCATGCTCTTCACTGTTCCCCTCAGTCTTCCTTATTGCAAACAGTGGTACCACTATTCACCCAGTATCTCAGAATCATTTTGTTGTTGTTGTTAATCCTCACCCAAGGATATTTTTCCATTGATTTTTAGAGAGTGGAAGGGAGTGGGAGAGACAGAGAGAAAGAAACATCAAGCATCATTGTGAGAGAGACACATGGATTGGTTGCCTCCCACATGTACCCTGACCAGGGCCAGGGATGGAGCCTGCAGCTGAGGTATGTGCCCTTGACTGGAATTGAACCTGGGACCCTTCAGTCTGCGGGTCGACTCTATCCACTGAGCCAAATTGTCTGGGGCTCTTTTTTTTTAATCCTCATCTGAGGATATGTTTTCATTGATTTTTAGAGAGAGAGAGAAGGGGGAAGGAGGGGCAGGAGGGACGGAGGGAGGAAGGGAGAGAGGGAGAGAGAGAGAGAGAGGAGAGAGAGAGAGAGAGAGAGGGAGAGAGAGAGAGAGAGAGAGAGAGAGAGAGAGAGAGAGAGAGAGAGAGAGAGAGAGAATAGGGTGCCTCCCATACATGCCCTTACGGGATCAAACCTGAAACCTTCTGGTGTACAGGACAATGTTCCAACCAACTGAGCCACCAGGATAGGGCTCAGACTCATTCTTGAAATCTCTCTCTCTTTTGGCTGAGTACAGTGAACTTTATTGATGCATGACAAGGTAGGGCTCCCTAACCCCCTCCCTTTCTTCAGGGGTCTGGGATAGAAACTGTGGAGATCAAATTTTCAATGTGTTGGGGGATTGATTTGGGGCAAGGACTCCCCACCAGCTGAGGGCCTCTGCTTTCACTGGGGCTGGTGGTCCAGGGGGCTCTTACTGCTTGGAGGCCATGTGGACCATAAGGTCCACCATTCTGTTGCTGTAGCCAAATTCATTGTCATACCAGGAAACAATCCTGACAAAGTGGTCATTGAGGGCAATGCCAGCACCAGCATTGGAGATGGAGGAGTGGGTGTCACTATTAAAGTTGCAGGAGACAGACAACCTGGTCCTCAGTATAGCCCACGATGTCCTTGAGGGGGCCCTCTGACTCCTGATGATACCTTTTTTTTTTATTTACAGATTTTTTAAAAATTTATTTTCCCTTTATTGATTAAGATATTACAAATGTGGCCCTGACCAGTTTGGCTCAGTAGAGCACCGGCCTGTGGACTGAAAGGTTCCAGGTTCGATTCTGGTCAAGGGCATGTGCCTTGGTTGTGGGCACATCCCCAGTAGGAAGTGTGCAGGAGGCAGCTGATCGATGTTTCTCTCTCATCGATGTTTCTAACTCTCTATCTCTCTCTCTTCCTCTCTGTAAAAAAATCAATAAAATATATAAAAAAAGATATTGCAAATGTGTCCTTATCCCCCCAATGTCCTCTCTTCCCCCCAATCCTGCCCTCACCCTCGCCCTCACCCCCTGTTGTCCACATCCATCGCTTATGCTTATATGCATGCATACAAGTCCTTTGTTTGATCTCTCCCCGTCACCCCCACCCTCCCCTATCTTCCCTCTGAGGTTTGAGCATCTGATCCATGCTTCTCTGTCTCTACATCTGTTTTTGTTCATCGGTTTATGTTGTTCATTATAATCCACAAATGAGTGAGAGCATGTGATATTTATCTTTCTCTGACTGGCTTATTTCACTTAGCATAATGCTCTCTGATGATACCTTTTTGATATCATATTTGGCAGCTTTCTCCAGATGGCAGCTCAGATCCACAACTGACACATTAGGGGTCAGGTATGGAGACTGCCCCTGAGCCAGCTTCAAATCAGGTGAGGCAGAAGGAGCCGGCTCAGGGGCAGTCTCCATACCCGCAGGCCTGTGTCTGTTGCCCAATAGGATGCAAGGTACCTTCTTATTTCTGAGCGGAGCGCCTGGAAGGGTGTCCCTGCAGTGTGTGGAAGAAAGAGCAGAGGGCACCGATTCTAGCATTACCCCTTTTGATGTTGGCAGGATCTTGCCCCTAGAAGATGGAGAGGGACTTCCCATTGATGACAAGCTTCCCATTCTCAGCCTTGACTGTGCCTTTGAACTTGCCATGAATAGAATTAGGAGCATGTAGACCATGTAGTTGAGGTCAATGAAGGTGTCATTGATGGGTACAGTATCCACTTTGCCAGAGTTAAAAGCAGCGCTTCTGACCAGGTATCCAGTACGGCCAAATCTGTTCATTCTGACCTCCACCATTATGTCTCAGGATTGTGGCTGGCACTGTGCAGGAAGACATGGCCATCTGATGAATAGGAGGAGCAGAGAGACGGATTCTCCCATTCTTATACCTTACACCCATCCAGTTCATCAACAAATTTGGCAGGTGCTTCCTTGAAAAGCTATCTAGAATCTGACTACTTATCACCTCCATTTCGACCACTGAAGTCCAAGCCACCATCATCCCTCACCTGGATTGCTACATTAGTCTCTTGCTCTCTACTTTGTCCCCAGTGGTGTATTTTCTACACAGAAGCCAGAGTCCTGTTTCAAACCGGTGTTTCCCTATAACACCGAGAATAAAACCAAAGTCCATTCAAAGACCATGCACGATCAGACCCACAGCTACCTCTCGGATTTCATCTCATAACATTCTTCCCCTTGCTCACTGCACTCCAGCCACAGTGATGTTTCTGCGTCATGTCAAAATGTTCCTGCCCCCAGGCAGGCCTTTGGGATTGGTATTTAGTCTATCTCCACCACTCTTCCCTCAGTGCTTCCTTACTTTATTCAGGTCTCTGCTAAAATGTCACTTTCTTAGAAAACTTTTCTCTGGCTACCTTATGTAAAATAGCACCCCTGTCACTCTTTGTCCTCTTACCCTGCCTGATTTTTCTTTTCTTTTTTTCTTTTCTTTTTTCTGGGGATAGAGGGGAAGGGAAAGAGAGGCGGTGGTGAGAGGTGGAGGGAGGGAGGAGAAGAGGGGGAGAAGGGAAGAGAGGGAGGGGGAGAGGGAGAGAGTAGGAGAGAAGGAGGGAGAGAGGGCAAGGGAGCCTGCCTGATTTTTCTTGGTAGCACTTAACACTTTCTGAGATCACTGTTCCTCCTCTTAATATTATGTCTAAATTTTAAAAAAAATATGTTATTGATTTTTTTTTTACAGAGAAGAAGGGAGAGGGATAGAGAGTTTGAAACATCGATGAGAGAGAAACATCCATCAGCTGCCTTTTGCACACCCCCTCCTGGGGTTGTGCCCGCAACCAAGGTACATGCCCTTGACCAGAATCGAACCTGGGACCCTTCAGTCCGCAGGCCGACGCTCTATCCACTGAGCCAAACCGGTTAGGGCTCTCTAAATTTTTTATTAGCACTTATCATTCTCCAAGATCATATTATATAATTATTATTTTTAAGTTTTCTGCCTCCGCTAGACTAAATTAATCAGGTGCAGCACTTTGTCTGCTTTGCTCTTTACTGAATCCCCAGCATAGTGTTGGAACTGTGCCTGAGTATATAGAGGAACCTCACATATTTATTGAATAAATGAATTCTCTTTTGATCACCTAGAGTTGGGTCTGAATTCTTGTTCTGCTTCTTATTAAATATGTGGCATATCTTTTATCCTTTCTAAACATCAAGTCCCTCATCTCCTTATTTTTTAAAAATACATTTTTATTCGTTTCAGAGAGGAAGGGAGAGGGAGAGAGATGGAAACATCAGTGATGAGAGAGATGGGCTGCCTCCTGCACGGTCTGTGGGAAACTGATATAGGGTTAAGCCTCGGACTGACCTGCTGGCAAAGTCACAAACAATTCCCAGCTTAGAGGGCACAGTCCTCTTAGCATAATTAGGCTTGACCTTATAACACTCCCTAGATCTTATCTGGGAAGCTAAGGGGCTGAGGAAGTGCAGGAAATATAACCAGGGTGTAAACAAGTGAAATTCACAAGAAAAGTGTAACTTTGGTAACCACTACCTTGTTTACCGCTCACTATAAAAAGCTTGGTGAGGCCTGAGCACAGTGGAAGTCCTTCCTCTTGAGTTGGACTTGCCGCCTGGTCCCCCAGTGTTCCCAAATTATCTCCTGTCTTTTCTTTTTCATTTGTTGTGTGGCTCCTCTTCCAGACCCGAACCCTGAACCACGCAGGACGTGGAGGGGAACACTTACGACAACGGTCCCTATTGGGGGTTGAGCCTATAACCCGGGCATGTGCCCTGACCGAGAGTAGAATCATGACCTCCTAGTTCAGGGGTGGCCAAACTTTTTGACTCGAGGGCCACAATGGGTTCTTAAACTGGACCGGAGGGCCGGAACAAAAGCATGGATGGAGTGTTTGTGTGAACTAATATAAATTCAAAGTAAACATCATTACATAAAAGGGTATGGTCTTTTTTTTCAATAGTTTTATTCATTTCAAATGGGCCGGATCCGGCCCGCGGGCCGTAGTTTGCCCACGGCTGGACTAGTTCATAGGTCGACACTCAACCACTGAGTCACACTGGCCAAGCTCAAGTTCCTCATCTTTAAGCTAGGAATACTAAAATATCTACTCTAACAGGTCAATGTGAGTAGCAATGAGCTATCGCGCAAACTGCCTGTTGGTCTCTCACTGTCCTCTCCACCTCCTCTGTTAATCTCAATTCACTCTGATCACTTGACTTCTCTGTGATCCTTTAGGTACTTAATTGGCATTATATCAATTTTCCATCTGCTTTATAACTGTACATAATTTATTTACTGTGTGTTTTTGTATTAAAACTTCCCTAACTGGGCTGGGTCATTTGCATACTATATATAGCATACCACCGACCCTCTCTATCCTTTTCTAAGCACTTACCCACTTTTCCCAATGCTTTCCTCATAGGCATTGGAGTATGCTTGATTATTTCTTCTGATTCTAATGCATTATAACACAAACCAACTGTACCATGATGCTTGAATCACAGAAATATCAGAAAACTTGAATTGTAGTGCTGGGAAAGACTTTTGAGATAATCCAATCTATTCATCCTTCAAATAAAGTAAAAGACCCCAAAAAGAAGAAATGACCTGCCAAAGATCACCAGGGTAGTAACAGCACAGGGACTGAAATCCAGGTCTCCTGATACCAAGTCATTTTTAGTTTGAAAATTCAATAATAGGCTTCAGTAAGCATAGTAATTATAATAAAAATTACACTGAAAACTTCTGATTGCCTCAGGGTATTTTCCAGTGACTCTAGTGACCAAATCTTTCTTCATTATTTCAGACTGTCAGCTGGAGAAATTGCCCATGAGGCCCCGGGATAGGTCCCGGGTGATTGATGCTGCCAAACATGCCCACAAGTTTTGTAACACAGAAGACGAGGAAACTATGTATCTTCGCAGGTAAGAGGTCAATGTTCTCTGTCTAGGATTTCCTTATTGTGTTGGGGTCTAGGTCTGAGGACTACAAATACCCTATCTAGCGTTGAACAGGTCTTTTGGGCCCAATACATTGATGTTTGTGGTAGATCTCTAATTTCTGTTAATGCAGCAGCAGCTCTTGTGTTTTGTTGAAATGGTGCTGAGATGTGATTCTTTTGCCATTTGAGAGCTGTATATATTTTTTTGCAAGTAGAATGAGTTCATTTAACCTGTAATCTCTTGGAGCATACTATGTGCAGGCACTGATCTTGGGACTGTGTCTATGAAGATTAATCAAGTACCATCCTAACCATTAAAGAGCTCATGGCTCAGCAAGGAAACAGGCTACCTATTGTGATATGATAAAATATTGGCATGGTGAACAAAGGGCTACAGAAAAACACATAGGAGTGGCTCATCCTGCCTGAATGTTGGTCAGGAAAGGTAGAAGTAGATGGTGGCATTTGTGTTTGGCCTTGAACTAGGATTTTACAAAGTAGATGAGGTAAATGAGGAACATTCCAAATGGAGGGAATATGGAATCATTAAAAGCATCAAATTTTAAAAAGCATCAAATATGTGTGCTTGGGAAATCTGAGTAGTCCTTTGTGTCTAGAGCAGCCGTGGGCAAACTACGGCCCGCGGGCCGGATCCGGCCCATTTGAAATGAATAAAACTAAAAAAAAAAAAGACCGTACCCTTTTATGTAATGATGTTTACTTTGAATTTATATTAGTTCACACAAACACTCCATCCATGCTTTTGTTCCGGCCCTCCGGTCCAGTTTAAGAACCCATTGTGGCCCTCGAGTCAAAAAGTCTGCCCACCCCTGATCTAGAGCCTAGGTCACTCTACAGGAAGGGGTTCATGCCTCCTGGGGTGAGGACAATAAAATGCTGAAGCAGACAAGTTTGGACCTTATCTGCAGGCAATAACCATCTCCTTTTTTATCTTTTATTTATTCTATTTAAAAATATATATTTGTATTGATTTCAGAGAGGTATGGAGAGGGAGAGAGAGAGAGAAACATCAATGATGAGAGAGAATCATTGATTGGTTGCCTCCTGCACACCCTCTACGGGGGACCAAGCCTGTAACCCAGGCATGTGCCCTGACCAGGAATCAAACCGTGACCTCATGTTATAGGTCAACGCTCAATCACTGAGCCATGCCAGCTGAGCACCATCTCCTTTTTTAAGCAGAGAAGTGACATGGTTAGATCTGTTTTAAGTATGGGAGTCCTTGATATATATGCGTAATTGAAACTTGGGGAGGGATAAAATTACATAGAAAGATTGTGGAGCAAGAAGAAGAGAGGACTAAAGGTACAATCGGGGAAACACTGACATTTAAAAAGCAGACATCATCATTGGAACACAACCAGAAGAACCTGATGATGTGGAAAACAGGAGAGGACAGAGTTTCAAGAAATGTGTGTAGGGAGGAAGGGTGGTCATCAACAGGTGCCACTGAGAGGTCAATCTTAGGGAATTAAAAAGTCCATCATTTCATTTAGCAAATATTTCATTTATTGATCTACCATGTGCCAGGTGCTGACCTAGAAACCTGGGATATCCTAGTATATTAATGTGCTAAACTGGATAGCTTAAAACCACAGAAATGAATTGTCTCACAGTTCTGGAGGCTAGAAGTCTAAAATTAAGGTGTCAGCAGAGCCATGCTCTCTCAGAAGGTCTAGGGGAGGATCCTTCCTTGCCCCTTCCTAGCTTCTGGTGTTTGCTAGCCATACTTCTCATTTCTTGGCTTGTAAATGCATCACTCTCATATCTGTTTGCATCATCATATGGCTTTTTTGTGTGCCTCTGTCCCTATGTTTCTTCTCTTATAAGGACACTAATCACATTGGATTAAGGGCACATTCTACTCATCTACATGACCTCATCTTTTTTTTTTTTTTAAATATATTTTATTGATTTTTTACAGAGAGGAAGGGAGAGAGATAGAGAGTTAGAAACATCGATGAGAGAGAAACATCGATCAGCTGCCTCCTGCACATCTCCTACTGGGGATATGCCCGCAACCCAGGTACATGCCCTTGACCGGAATCGAACCTGGGACCTTTCAGTCCACAGGCCGACGCTCTATCCACTGAGCCAAAACCGGTTTCGGCTACATGACCTCATCTTAACTAATTATATCTGCAACACCCTCTTTTCAAATAAGGCCATATTCTGAGGTTTCTGGAAGAACATTACTTTTTAAGGGGCATTATCCAACCCAGTACAACCAGTAGACAAGCAAAGAACCCTGCCCTTATGGAGCTTAAGTTCTAGTGTTGAACTAGAAAAAACTACAGGCTGGCATCTAGCTATGTTTATTTAAGAAACCAAACTATTATCAGCCCGAACTAATGAAAAAAGTTAGAAACCACTGCTAGGTGACATTCAGTAGCAAATCAAACATCAAGCACCACTGTGACAACTGGGTTTCCAGAACTGTGCAGTTGAAGAAAATTTTGGTCATATTCAAGATACAACCAGGGCCACAAATTATAATAAAACTTATGATAGTCACAAAGGGATAGTTGGTCCGACGGTTGTGGGTTATTGTTAAGCTGATTAACAAAGGGAGGCCCTCTAGAAAATAGTGGGGAAATACTTCATATGGTACATAGAAAGGTTTATAAGTAACATGCCGTGTCTAAAGCTAATCCATTCTCTTGTGCTTTTTCTCCCTCCATTAATCTTTGTTTAGGTTTCTGATTTTGAAAATTATTAACTATCTTAAGGATGAATAAATTTTTAATGATATATTTATATAACATTACATATGTAATATAGTATATTATAATTATACATTACTATTTAGTAGTATTATATATTATATATATTTAAAGAATTTCTATTACTCAGTTAATTCAGGAAGTAATCTAATAACACAACTAGGCCACAGACTCCTGTGACATTATAAGGCAGATGCCCTCAGTTCTGCGCCAGAAAAGTGCGTGGCTCTAGGCTGAAGTAGAATCCTTGGAATGCAGTCAGCCTGATCCTGGAAGTGAGCCAGCTTCAGTCCCAGCCTTAGTGTTGGGTGCTGCTCAGGCTTGTGGCCTCTGGCCAAGTGACTGTTGGGCCACAGAGTTTTTAGAGTTTACCAACAAGGCATGGTATATTTCCCCCATGGTTGATATTGTTCCCGCTCTAATCATGGCCAGTCTAATGTGCGTCCCAACTGGTCAGAGTGGAATTTCAGTCTGCTCTTTACCCTTCCTCTTCTGTAGCCAACTGAGTGTGCCAGTTACTGAAGATATAGCAGTTTGCCCAACATAGACCCCAGAGGAACCCATCACTTTCTACCTTCAAGTCTCTCTATTCTAAAGTACCTCTCCTTTGACAGTGTTTTAAAATATATATATATATATATATATATATATATATATATATATATATATATATATATATTGATTTCAGAGAGGAAGGGAGAGGGGGAGAGAGATAGAAACATCAGTGATGACAGAATCATTGATTGGCTGCCACCTGCAGACCCCCCCATTGGGGATGGAGCCTGCAACCTGGGGATGTGCCATGACTGGGAATCTAACCGTGACCTCCTGGTTCATAGGTCAACATTCAACCACTGAGCCACACTGGCTGGACTCCTTTGACATTGTTCCCTAGTCCTCTCTTTCCCTTATCTAGCACTCCCCCAGTTACAAATCAGTGGGTGAGTTTCTGTCTGAATCTTTGTTGCTTGTGCCTCCCTTGATGCTGTCTCCTTCTTTGATTTTTGTGAAATTGCTCTGGTGGTGGTTCTATTTCTTTGGCTTTATAGGTCTTCTGTATTCTTCCTGCCCCTTAAATGTTGGTCTTCCCAGGGCTCTGACCTTGATTTTCTCCCCTTTCTCTTTATACTGTCCTTGGACATTCTCACCACCTTTTGTGGCATCAGTTACATTTATATGTTGAGGACTCACAAAATCTAGATTTGCCTACGATTTTCTCCTGTGCCTAGAACTGTACATCTGCTTACTCTACCTCCTCCCCTGATGTTCTGCCTCAGATCCAACATGACTAAGGCCAAACTCATTATTTCTCTAATGTGGAAGATATTGCAGATTGGTTCACTCAGCACCACTCCAAATCTTCTCTCTTACCCTCCTAAATACTAGAGTCTATAAAGTTAGTACATATTCCAGTGTCCCCCCCCCCCGAAAAAACCCCTCTAATATCTGAATGTGACTTAACTTTTGCCAAGTAAAGGATGGAAGTAGAAATTGTTGGGTGGGGCTTCCAAGGAAAACCTTTTCTTCTCTTATTTCTTCGTGCTATTTTGGAAAATGGACTTGATCATTGGAGCACCAGCAGCCATCCTGGGACTGGGAAAGAAAGGCCACAAGAATTGCACACCTCTTGCCATGCTATTCTTGGGTCTCAACCATTGCCAGGAGCCACCTTCCTCTCGGCTTCTTTTACATTAGAACAAACTCTTGTGTTGAAGCCACTGCAGTCAGGTCTCTGTAACTATCAACCAAACTCAATTTCTTCTTTTTTCTCCTCCTGTGATGATGCCTTCATTCATGCAGTGGCCCAAGGCAGAAATCTGGGAGCCTATCCTCTTCCTCTCGTCCAACCCTGCCCCCACAATCCCCTGCACACATCCACTCACCATGTAATGTCTGTTTCACCTTGTAATCTCTCTTGTGGCTGCCTCCTCATGTTTGGCCCTGCTACCCTGCCATCGTTCTGGTACCCAACTTCACTTGCTTGGGCTGTTGAAGTGGCCTTTTACCTGGTCTTTGGCCTTTACTTTTACTGCCCTTCTGCCTGAATGATCTCAAATGCACATTATTTCAATCTTTCAGTGATTCTTCATGACCTACAGCAGTGCCTTTCAAATAGTTTTTAAAAATGAATCCTTTCTTCAAATTAAATTCTTACCCAAAAGTATAAATAATCAGGAAGCTGCTCTCTTTTGGGAGGAAGTGAGCCCAGTGCATTAAGGACTCCTTCCCTTCCCCTATC